TAGTTTAGTTCATGCATGAATTAAGTCTCTGATGTAATGCAACATGCACAGTTTGCACTGTGTGCAAATTAATGCTGCTCAGTTCACTCTAGTAATTTATCCAGTTAGAAGCAGTTGAAATGATGTTTCCAACTCCATGAAACTAGGTGCATTATGTTGGTATAAGACAGGTGCATGGCATAATTTAATGGCCTGGGATGGAGTAGAGTTCAGATATTAACTAACCATCATATATCTAGTGGGATTAACTAAAAATATATCTAGTGGGAAAAGCTCTGAATACCATTTACAAGAATAGGTTCCATACAGTAGAGGCCAATTTTGCACAAATTGGAATAGGGAAAGTGAGCAAAAATTCATCAACGTAGACAGATCTTAGTATCTTACAGATGGACCTATTGTGCAGAGAGAGAGAGAGAGAGAGAGAGAGAGAGAGAGAGAGAGCAATGAAATATTGACCAATCTACACTTACTCGCTGCCCAAACATAATTGTGCTTGAAGTTTCTGAGAAATGCCTTGAAGATGGACCTATTGTCACAATGAGTGAAGTCCTTGCAGTCCCTGCATTTGGAGATTTGAGCAAATCAATTACAGTGTTACACATGTAGTGATGTGGAGAAAAAGTAACCATGATGTTTGAACAAATGTGATAAATTCAAACAATCTAATAGGCACCTATACTTTGGACAAACACAAGAAATTCAATCATACCAAAAGGAAATCATACCTCCAAATGAATCACGCAGTATTCTTGTAAGTTTTGAATCTCTTGTTGGTATATGAGGACTATTTTCTGCTAACGCGTTAATGCATTTGCCTAGAGATGTTAATGACAGATTGATGAACTTGGCTTCTTCAATCATGTGACCTTCACTTCCTGGGAGACAAAAGATTAATATTACAAACAAACAATACAACATACGAAATGAAAAGGTTTGTTTCAATTATATGGTAAGACCTACCAGATTTATCGATACGTTCTGATCCAGCAAGGTCGACAATCAAGAGCTTGCTCTTGAGAACAAGCGGTAAATTATCAGGAAAAAGGTTGTCAGTACCATTAGGAAGAGAGGTATTACTTCCATCTTCTATTCTTGAACTCCTCTGTATATGAATCTGAAAAGAATATCAAATTCGCATGGGCATGTAATTTACTTTGGAACTTAAAACAGAATACCCACAGCAAGGAAGAAGGAGCATACAATGAGAATAGCATGACTACGAGATGATTCTGTGTTCATCTTAGTATTAGCAGCATGACGATTCATCTCACCAATTTGGAGAAGTTGAAAAACATGTTCAAGATCTCTGATTTCAACTTTTGCAGCACCAGGCAAAGAAACTTCACCAGTTTTTGGATCCTCAACAATCGGAATATTAGTCTTCTCTGGAGCAAGTAAATCTTGCACAGATTCTAAGTAAAGCTATAAACCAAATAAACATGTATACATTAGTATGGAAAAACATACTACAACAATAAGGGACCACTAATGAATATTCAAATAATTTTATATAATTGAGAAAAAAAATATGGACATAGAAGCTTAAGCATTAAATGAACCATGGTGCACTTTGGTTCAATTTGCAGTACACCATGAACTATAACACTTCATCCCATTTGTGCAGTTTTTTATGCAATTTATCTAGCACGATAGAAAAATGCCTTTATCTTTGTCGTCCACGTTTAACATGGCAAACTACCTGGAACTATGGATGGATAATATTAAAGTGAGTGAAAGTGTTCAAACACATATTGTTATACATGACCTATTTGATGTCATGTATTAAATACAAAAACTGGTGCTATGTCTTACATAATCTGTTCAAAAATGATTGTGACAATGTGGCACGATAATCATATAAGCCTTAGCATATAAATATGACTGTTCCTGGCTTCCTGCATTAATCGAGACAGTTTGAAGAATCCTAGCTAATAAGAAAGTTAAAACAATTCCACCATTCCATGCCAAAAAAGAATAATGTCGATCAATAAGAAATAATGATACATGTACAAAACAAATAACTTCAGTTGTTGAGAATAGAACCTGGAGAAATGATATTGCCACACTATCTGTCTCCAAAGACATGACAGAAAGGATATGTTCCAATGCTCTGACCATTATTCCACCTTCAGAAGGGTCGTCATTTCCAAGCCGACCAACTGTGTATGTCTTGCCAGTACCTGTTTGACCGTAAGCCATCACGGTCCCATTATATCCTTCTAACACGCTCTGCGAGATTTATCAGAATAGTTTCTACATTCTCTCAGGCCAATATAACAAAATATCATATGCAAATGGGTCATAAGCTAGTAACAGGCTAAAGGGAAATTCCAATTGTATACACATAAAAGTTTGTTCCTACTAGCAATACAGAAAAGCGTTCTTAAGGCATAGTTGCAGGCCTGTTGTACACTATTTGGCACCTAAGAGAATCACTTCCTGATAATAATCAAGTTCTACCAACTGAAGTTAATGTAACTACATAGAAAACAGACAAACATAAGCATTTGCAATGAAAATATGTTGCTCATAGTTAGTAGTACGTTACATGTGTAAATAAAAGGGTGATGACATGTACGACTTGCCTCGACTACAGGTTTTGCAACGACCTCATATACACGTTTTTGTGAAGCATTTTCACTGAAAACCTCATCAAACCTATATGATTCACAGCTCCAGTTGTTTTTCTTTAGCTTCAGCTTCTTACACTGCACACAATAAAAAACAAGCAGAATAAGTAATTAAGTTGTTAATTACTTATAATGAGGTACAAAGCGCAGAGAGTAAAATAGGATGCTCACCTCAGGCTGCAACTCAACACAACTATCGAAGTCCGCGCCATGAGCTAAGTCCTCAGAATTCTTCGGCCGGAGCCTTACAGCAACTCTTACTCTGCACGAATCTGTGAAAAACACCCTTTATCAATTCTGAAAACATACCATATTGACATCAACTCCATAAACGACTGTAAAGCATATTAAGCTACATTCACCGCATCAGAATGTGAGAAAACAGCATCGATTACAGATATCTAGCAGAATGTACTGTGCTAGAAGGCTAGCAGCACCAGGGAAATGGCGTAAATTCAGAGCGAATATATAACTGATAGCGAACATATATGACTTGTATACATGTGTGTGCGAACATATATGACTTGTATTCATGTGTGTGCGATTTAATGAGTACAATATATAACTGATAGCGAATTTCCAATGCTGAAATGCATAAATGGTCATCTCTCCAGCGACAATGATATTCCCGTCGCCGTTGCAAGTATCCGTAACGTTTGGAGTTTCCCGATAAACCGACGAAGAGCGAAAAACCCGAGACGCGCTTCCACGGCTCCTCGAACAGAGGAAATGCATCATTCACCGGACGGCCTCCGACGAAAAGCACCAACAGCGAAAAACCCCCAATACACCGATGATGAAGTGCAATCTCCGATGATTCACGGGTGCGCGGAGCAGCAGAGGAGCGCGTACCTGAACCCCCGTCGTTGTCGGCGGCGGCGGGGCGCGCGCGGGAGGGGGACGGGGAGGGCCTGCGCGACGGCGGGGCGACCGACCTGGAGCGCCCGGCGGGGCGGGGCGGCGCGCCGTGCCTCTCCACGGGCCGCACCGACGCCCGCCCATTCGCCGCCATCTCCGCCCGCCCCACAACCCCACCCGCGCCGCGGATCCCTCTCGGCTCGTCGCCGGCGGCGCGTGCTGGATCGGGTGGAGGAGGAGGACGCGGCGAGATGGAGAGAGAGAGGCGTTGGGTTGGGGTTTTTGAGTTGAGGCGCGCACGACGGCGGGCGGGCGGGCGGAGACGGAAACGGAGTGGCTTGCAGGAGAAGGAGGCGGCGGCTCTTTTCCTAAACGCTCCACCTCCTCGGTTTGAATTATTTAATGCAGGGGGGTGTGTGCTTTGCGTTTGGGGTTGAGAGGGTGGGATGGTTGATGTTGATTGAGGTGATGGATCCAACGGCGGAGAATGGATGTTGGAGTTTGCTGGATGTCTCTCACGACTGACACTACTCCCCGTGACGACCACCAGCCAAGCGATCTTTTGTTGCATTTGCTTCTTTTTCATACTGCTGTGCATGTTTGGCTGTTTGCCCGTGAGAGAGTCATAACTAATGAACAGTAATTATTACTACTTCATTTCTGTAAATGTTTTCTAGCTGTTTTATGTTAAACTAAATGAATGCAGGAGCTTTACTACGAATAAAACAAAATATACGCGAGTTACACATCTTTTTTATGAGGAATGTTCACCTTTAGTTCGATTTTATACGTGGCAGCATATTTTAAATGAGCTCTTAATATTAAGAGGTTCAAGGTTAATTTGTAACTTTACGGATTTATTGCCACCACCATTATCCTATTTTAAAGAAGTGTAAAAATTTTGTTATGTACTGTTCTTTTCTTTAAAATAATGTTGTTTATGTACTATCTTTGTTTTCTTTTTTTTCCGAGCTGTCTGTTTTCTAATAGAGGTATCATTGATTTTGTCACAACACTTTAATATTTGTCTTATTCGGAAATAAAATTAGTGCACATATGGAAAAATATAAGTAATACTTAAAGGTCCTTTAATGTTAAACTAAGTCGCATCAAAATAAAAAATATTTAGTTAATTTTTTTAATAAAATAAAATGGTCAAACAAAATGTTAAAAAAATATCGGCATCATCCATTAAAATAACAAAACGGAAGCAATACTTCAATAAGATATGCTCTCTCCATCCCATAAAAAGCCAATCTAGTAACGGATGTGACACATCCTTATATTACGAAAATAAACATACATCTATAAACATATATCTATTTAGATTTGTTGTATTACGAATCTAAATATACATCTATAAACATATATCTATTTAGATTTATTGTACCACTATAATGTATTACATTCAATTGTTTTTCTTTCTGGATGGAGGGAGTATATACTTAGTAAGTGGCACTGAATTATCTATGGAGGATCTCAGTTAAGGTAACGAAAACAATGCTCACAAAATCTGCAATGCGCTAGTATAGCAATTCAGTATGAACCACGAGCAAAGATGATACATCTGCGAATTTCTCCTTCCTCGCTACACCATATGCATGATACATCTGCCTGTCGATTGTCGAACAAAAGATGGGCACTGTCCAGGTTTACACGGAACAAAAATGAACACCACAAAAATGGAATCTGAACTATGCAACACAAACATTACAGATTTTCGATGAGCCTGTATAGACAACACTAGCAGCTCAGCAACCCCCGTGTATGAATGGATTTGGAAACCCAATTTATAGTCTATAGACAGATCATTGTGCCCATTTCTCCACTGTAGGCAGCAAAATCCTTCCCACGTACAAATAGCGTTATTTGGCTTCGAGATCGTGCTGTAGGAGCTTCTACGTCAAAAATCGGATACAAATGAGCAACAATACACTTGATCCAGTGACCTCACACTCTGCGCAGAGGTTGAGACCCCAGACCCCAATTCACCAAGACAGTAATTGCACCATTTGACACTCTGATATTGACTCTATGAACTTCCCGTTGAATTGGCAGCTGACGCATATATCTCCAAGGAGTGCTCTGGTATGTATGTAAGACCTGTAGTAGAAAGATATCAAACAAAACAAGCAGGAAACATGGAATAAATTCCACTATAGTCTACATACTTCTTTCTTTTTTTACAATCAATTCCAACAGGAAATAATTATATGTCAACATCCTAAGGAATCTAGGATATTCACATTGTGACAGATTGTTAAAAAAAAAAGTGTTCCTCCAATGCCACTAATTTGTTTTTCTTTCTCTGTGTTTTTACTATGCTTGCAAGAAAAAGTATACCTTTCTCCCTTATCGTTATTTGAAGTGTATCCAGTGTAATGATCCCATCCGTTAATGGAAGTAGCTCAAGCTTGACGGTGGTGCTTGAACGTGCAGGAATACACCTACCACAATGGTGACAACAAATGTTATTCTTTAGTGTATAGAAATACTCCCTACGTCCCAAAATAAACTAACCCCATACGGGATGTGACATCCTAGTACAATGAATCTGGACATATCGTACTAGGATGTGGCACATCCAGTACGAGATTGGTTTATTTTGGGACGGAGGGAATACAAGGTACATGGGATGTGTCACTCAAAGAAAGAAAAGCAGGTGAGGATCAATACCCTAAAGGAACCGCACTCTGCAACCACAGATGAGTACAGCCTCCAGAAGTGCTAATTCTATTTCCTCCATTGTCACTTTCTTTTGGTGAGCCAGCAAGGACTGAATTCATTCTTCGAAAACCAGCTCGATGTTTACCCAAGCCAGATCTTCTCACAGACTCATTAAGATTGTCATACGAACTATTTGGTGTGGTTGGAGCTGAGTTCAAGGATACAACTGAAGAAGAACCAGACGCTTCTGGAGCAAGAACCGTTACGGTAAGGTTTTCTGATGTCATATTAGTAGCCTCAAGGGTTAAGACCTGGAAGGTAACAGTGGATTGCACTATCAAAATGAAACATGGATAATCTGCATAATATACCTAAAAAAGCATAGGAATTACCTGCACTGGGAGTTGAGGAACTCGAGCACTCGAAATAGGATTTCGCAAAGACAGTTCTGATGATACAGAGATCATAAGGTCACTAGCAACACAGGGTCGCCAGCTGGTGGCCTGCTTGAAGAAAAGTTTTGATTCTACACAGGAAAGAAGGCTGGAAGTCAGAAATAACAATTCAACGCTTCTTCCAAGTCACTTACCCCCATCTGTTAAGTAGTTTACCTGTGTAATTGCAGCGATATGATACAAGTACAGCATACTGATCCATAAGAGAGCCAATGGTCTCGCCAACCTTAGCCAAAGAAACATTTGTGGCAGTTCCATTCATCTTAGGGAGTGACAAAGTCAGAGGTGCATCATTGTTGGTCCTCCGGTCCCTAAACGACATAGTTGCTGGCTTGAGAATAAAAGAGTGCTCCTCGCCTCTCCTGGAAAGGAAAAGGTAACATTTAAGAAAGATGGAATATTCTAGAATCTGACATAAACTTCAATGTTTAGAGTAAGAAATACTCAACATACAACCATGTTTACTACTACTAGCATATACTTGAATCTGGTGAAAGTAAAAGGGAAATGTGGAATTAATCCAGTCCTGCTTTGACTAACCCAGTACTCTAGGGCTCTAGGCCATACAAGACCAACTTGTTTGAGGCCAAACTCAAACTCCTGGATTTGATGGACCCCGAGGGGGAATTGAACCAATCAATTTCTTTGCATAAAGCTGAAATGGTGGATAGAGAGTGAAATCAATGAGAAATTGCATATACCTGAGTGCAAGATTTGGTAAGCTATGCCCGTGCCCAACCTCAATACTGGCAATTGGGAGTGACAAAGGAGCACCTCCTTTGGATGCCTCCTCAAAGACAATTGTAATTGCATCTACCAATACAACTATATCTTTCACATGCTGTGGAGAAATATTCTGAAATTTGAAGATAGAAGCATTAGGTTTGAAAGCTTCTCTAAGTAGGAGATATTAATGGTTAGGGATGTTCGCGTAACCTTGATTAGAACACACAGAAGATTTTCCGAAGTACATTTTGCGGCAAAAGAGTGAACCTCAATTGGTTGAATGATCTCAACTTTTCTCCGCCATCTTTTCCCTGGTAGATATACACCTTCTAGACCACAACGTACGGAATACCGTTCAGGCTCCAATGGAACTCCTCTAAAGGAAAGTTGTCCATCATTTATAATATCAGGTGTTTTCGCAGGCTTTTCAGGCACAAATTCTTGACTTTCAGAAATTGGTGGTGGCCTAATGTTGGGTGGTTGAGTGGAGGAGGCTGAAGGCATGGAATAGCTTCTGAAGTGACTTAATGAAAAAATTTGAGAACCAGAAGCAGAATAAGATTGCTTGTGTGATGCACTAGGATTGAGAGTAGGAGGTGATAAGGATCGCGGAGGAAGTGTGCGATCCAAAGGGAGCAGCCAGCTTAGCAGCTCCTGACATGGATCCTCATCACCACTAGAAAGTCCATTGACCAGATTCTTGGTTATATAATTGCTTGATGAAGATTTCTCAAATTGAAGAACTTCTAGCACTGGAGCTTCCATTTTGTTAACACCAACATTCACTTGCAAAACAACCTGCATCCTTCCAACAAAGAACATGAGTGATTAATCAGCATATGTATAACATCTAAAATTAATCAACAGATACACGTGTGCTTCCTTTCTTTCTGAAAAAGGGGATTTCACCGAAGGTAATTCTATATGACTTCTAAAGATCTCAGAACATTGCTCAATGCCGTGATTTATAAAGTTGCAGAAAATGAAGAGAGTACTAAAAGGCATGGGCATGAGGTATTAGCCAGTTATGTCAATCTGCTAAGATTGACGCAAATAGGTAGCACATGAGAACAGTCTACCATGTTTATGCCTGGTGAAGTTATTATGATTAAAGCATCCAACTTGCAATTATTTATGCAGTGCTCATAAGTAAACTTCCAATGTGCATACATTATACAAAAGTTCTAGTTATAGTATCACCCAGTAACTAAACAGAAGGATCATTCATACCACGATGTCTCCATTTTGCAGAGCATAGCACCTTGCTGTACCACGAGCGATTCCTCCAGATGTGCTACCATCAAAAACTCCTTTATCAGAAATGGTATTATAAGCATTACTCCTTGAACCCTTATTGTTTTCCTGGTTGTCTGAATATGATTGCTCTTTTGGCACCTTTGATACAGCTAGTTTTTTATTGGACCAGAGAGGTTCATCTGACTCTGCAATTCGGACAAAAAAATTGGACATTTTGAATCTTTGAAGCATACTTTCAATTTGTTGCTTGTGATCTTCCAATCGAAGGAGAGATTCGGTCTCCAAAATATCTTGTTTTGAAGGAGAGATTTCGTTGTTGAGTTCAACATTTTGCATGTCATCTTGTTTTGAAGGAGACATTTCGTTGTCGAGCTCAACATTTTGCATGTCATCTTGTGTCATAGGAGACATTTCGCTGTTGAGTTCAACACTTTGCATGTCATCCTCAACAACCTGGGAACCATTCTCTCCATTCTTTACATTACTATCACCATTTTCTGTGGCATGACTAGATTTATTTGTGGAGTATTGCAAAGAATTTCCATTCTTAGACATCACGGCAGCAATTCTAAAGGGAGATATGACCTGTGTTTCTTGCTTCGAAGCGGACATGCACGCCAATATATGAACCTGCTCACCTGATAACTGAACTAGTTCAGATTCTAGAAAACAGGCAGAATCATGATGCACTTGTGCCAGACCCCCTAGACTAAGTCATAGGAAAAATGCATTTACCAGGAAAAAGGAAGGGGCGGTCCAAAGGCTGTAACTGCAACATGTCTGAAAGGTCATTCCAGTTATCAGGAAGCTCCTCTGTGGAAGTAAATTGAAGATGTTACTGACCGTAGATGTAAGAGGATTAATTGTTACAAGCTTATGGCACTTCTAAAAGCATGACCTATGTTCCATGGCACTTCAAAAGGAAAATTTTCAGAAAAATATGGATTTCCTTAGAACATTTAGCAGATCTTGTAGAGATATTCCTAACAAATGGATTCTTATTAACCAGTAATGACTTTAAATGAAAATAAAGACGGGCAAGTCAAAGGGCACATACTGTTCGGAATTGTGATCCATCCTTCGTCATCCAAAACATCGGTATGCTTTCCAGTAGGAACTGAATTTTTTGAATCTGCATCTGCAGAGTCCCCACCGATATCTACATCTCCATTATCAGTATCTTCATCTTCAGGGGAGGGGTGATATGGATCATCGGCAATAAGGCCCTCCAGAGTTGTAACTGGCTTTTGTAGGCTATCCCTTTGCTGATCTTGCTCTGGAATCCGCGGAAGCTCGGGTGCAACAGGCTGCGAAGTCCGGTAGAGGAAATTCATCTCTACCCGTCCTGCCAAGCAAAGCAAGAGGGTGAAAAAGGAGATAATGATACGCAGATGATTAAACAAACAAAATCACACCACCGGGAGCTCCAGTTCGACAGAGAGAAACAGGATCAACGAGAGGAAACAGAGATTCATCGATCCGGCAGCTCATTGAAGACAAAAACAACGGGACATCAGATCAGGCAACCACCCGCGGCAAAGCGAGCCATTCGAGGCAGCAATTAGCCATGGCGGCGCCTGATCTAGCGGCTACACGGCACAGGGGGCGCCGCATTTCCGCCGATGCGGGAGCCTGCCTAGCAATCTTAGCAACCACTGACGACTCTCACTGAAGAAGTAGGAGAAGAGGAAGGCTTAGATCACACTTACAGCGGGGGCTTCCTATGGGCATCAAACGATACACGCACAGCTGGGCTCGGAGAACCGCGCCCCGCCGGCGCGGGGAGGGAGAGAGAAGAAGCGAGCGAGCGAGCGCGGCGGCGGCGGCGGCGGCGGCGGCGACGGGGAGCGATCGCGTGAGGGGGAGCGGCTGCGTCGTGCGCAAGAGAGGAGAGAGGGGAGCGGGGCGGCGGCCTGGCGCTCCGGGGGACGGACGGATCTGAGCCGGAGAAGATGGTCCATGGCGATGCGTGGGTCGGATTAAACTAATCTTCCTCGTTGCCAACAACTAACCCAAGGCCCAGCTGAGGCCCATGCGAGCCCAACTATCTCACGTTTCTTTTGTAAGTTTTTGGAATATCAATTTTTTTTTACTAAATTTCAGCAAACCCCATGTTTTTGGTTGAAGTTGTATAAAACCCCAGTTATTGCACATAACCTCGTAATTCTTAAGTTTCACAAAACACCACACATATACATATTTGGCAAATATTTACTTAAAATTTTAAAACATAGAATATATACAAAACTTTTAGTCGTTGATTTCTTGATTAAGGTTATCAGTTTAACTCTTCGCTACTTTAAGAAATATTGTTTCTGATATCCTGAAATCAATTGAAATTTGTATCAGAGTGAGGTTTTATGAAACATTTAGGCCATAAAACATGTGATTATATGTCGCAAGTCATCACACGTGTGATTGTCTACAACTTTGATCATAAAAACGTGAGGTGTTATGAAATTTACTCCATTTTTTAGCAACTTTCAAATACCCACTTATACAATGTCTTTTTTTGGGTAGCATTGCTACCATTGGCAAAATGTTCAAGAATAAAAAGGAACATGCTTTTGTCAATCACAATAATATTCCAGCTGTAGCAGAACCATAACATGGTTAATTCCTGCTCAAAATACAGATTACGAGAGAATTTGGTTCGTATACCTCCTGGATTGCTACTTGTTGATAAGTGTTGAATCGTGTAGCAAAATGGTTCGTATACCTCCTGTACCTCACGTAAGAGCATCTATATTGATAAAGTGTAGCCTCTATCACTAACCCTCAACCTGACAATATCCCATCTCCACCACCATATATATTGATAAAGTGTAGCCTCTATCACTAACCCTCAACCTGACAATATCCCATCTCCACCACCAAACACTGCTGCCTTGTTGGGCACTGGAAAATGTTCTTCCAAGCAGCTTGTGTGTTCTTCAAGCCAAAAGTATGTCTTTGTCTATCTTCACCATCCGCACCAACTTAACGTACAGGCATTGGTGTGGAGTAGCTTTCACCTTGACGTGAGAAGGAGCAATTGCTATTCTTCGATGGAGTTGTGCGGATCCACATTACCGTCGAAATTAGCACCCGTGGACCCAGGTTTTCACTCTACTTCTTGCCTTCCAGTGACTTGAGATCAGTTTGTTTAAGTTCAACAAACTTCCCAATTCTGAACATGTAACATCCAACAAGGGTTAATATTCAGTGTTATTTTTCCTCCCAGTCTGTAAGAATAAATGGAAAACAAAAAGGTCCAGGATACCAAATTAATTTATCATTTTGTGCATGGAATCATGCCTCTAAAATGATGGCATACCAGTTATCTTTGAATCAGCCAACTATACTGGACAGGTCTTAGCATGCCTGCTGGCAGATGCTATCAAGTATACAGCACCATGTTACCTCACAATATTTGACAGGTCTTATGATATAGTTATTGTTCATATCATTTACAGCAAGAAAGTGCCATGCTCTTTCTTGCGATGTTTCATAGACATGATCTTTTTCTTACAGTATATAGTGTTCAGTGTTCATATCTTTTACATGAAAAGAACATGTCATGTCGAGTAGGTGCTAAGATGCTAAAAAGACAGTGTAAATGTATAATGGTCCATTTCAAACATATACAGATGTGGTAAACTGCATTACCTGAGATCTGGTGGAAGCCTGAACCTGCCTATCCGAACACGTTTCAAGGCATAAACCTATCAAGAACAAGGATAAAATATCAGCTACTTCCCAGAGGGGGGAAAACATTCCAAGGTATACAATTCCAGCAAAAAACGCACTTACTGGTACACAAGGATATATGCCTACCTCACCCATAAGAATATAAGATAAGTGCACTTCTTAGACTTCACTGTTGTTTTTAGAAACACCTAAGACTAGGAAGAAATCCCAAGCTGATGTGAACAAAATCTTTCAGACAAGTGATGTTCCGTTGTACAGGTATTACAGTTAGTACAATTTATCTTATGCACTGTAGTGCTTGTAGAAGCACAAGAATTGAGATCTGCAAAGTGCTTTGAGATAATATCAACTAATAAACATGCTAGGCATCTCAAAAGCTACTGTTCTAAGAACTATATAGTAGAATGTAGTATATCATCATAAGCAGGTTTGAGAAGAAAAACTCTGAAGCGCAATGTGCTAGGTGTATGACATTTTTTTAGTAAGTACACTATGTCTTTAGCACACTGCTAATCTCTGTCGTTGTAATATTCGATCATCATAATAATATTTCTGTTGAAAAGAAGACTCTGAAGCACATAAGATGCATTTCAATCCTCTTCTAAAACATACTGTTAATTTGTCAATAGTGCTACTGATCATTAATCGTCCTCATTTCTAACAATTCAATCAGATAAGGGATTAACAAACAACATTTGCTCTTGATTCTAGAACCAAATTACTTGAGTTACCAAATTTGATATTGCACAATGGGAAATGTTAAGATATGATCAATAAAACATAAAGGGAAAACTTGAGAAAAAAAATATTGAGCATACAAACAAACCTCTAGGCCTGCATTCTGCACGAGTTCACGAACTTCATGATTTCTTCCTTCATGAACCTGCCAGACATTAAAAAAAATAGCATACCAATGAGTAGATGACCAAATGCTATGCCTTTGCAAGTTTACATCTCTATAGAATTGCTTTAGTTAAGAATACATGCAAGAATTTTGAGCAATAAGTCCATAACATATTGATGTCATTGAAAATACTGTATGTTGCCCAGAGTAGTGACTTTTCCTTCTACACTGGTTTTTACTCACAGGGCTGAAATATTATCAAGAAATGGTTCCAAATTAGCTGGTAACATGTTAAAATTATTTAGCTAGTTTTGAACAATGCGAAACATATTATTGCTTAAGCTTTGCAGAATTACCAGTTTCTTATGGTTTCCACGGTTTCAATCATTTGAAAAAGTAAGCAGGTGAGGCAAATTATCGATCCAACCAACTGCCTGTTAGACATTTAAAGTGAACTTTACATAATCACTAACCACTTTAGCTTGTCATGACATTTAAAAATAAATCTTGACCGCAAGATACTATCTAAAGAGACCTTTCGTGTGTCATGTATCATGTTGTATATCCCATAAAGGAATGATAGGATAGATTCATTGCTAGGGTATATTTTTCACTGAACAGAAAGAGCCAAGTTGCCTATCTTCTACATTATCCTATGAAGAATTTGGAATTCATGAAACAGACAGTAAAGTCAATCCGGAATCTAATAAAATGAGGTATAATAGAAAATATAAGTACCGCTATTCTAATCCGGGTCCTTTTTGTATTGGATTGTACATCCAATGGTTCCACTAGATCAGGTATACATTTGACGCCATCAATTTTTGTGCCTTCACTGATAGCTATAAGGTGATTTCTGTGCACTGGTCCATCTATAGTTACCACATATCTGCAAGATCAAACAACTCAAAGTCAATGTTGGTTTCATTTGAAATTTGATAAAAATGATATTTCAGATATTTCTTTTCGCAATTACCAGTGCATATTGATAATGAATAAATGAGAGTAAAAAAATGTGAATATTAGGGAATGGCCTAATATCAAATAAATAGAAAAGGTGAGGCTTCGAACCCAGGCCGGCTAGCCCACCACCTTGTGGAGCTAGCCGGAAGACCCCTAGGCGTTTCTCCAAATAAATGAGAGTGATACCAACAGACTGTTAAATTTTCTTCTACAAAAGATCTGGATAGTGTCTACAGTGTTCCTAGTACGTGATTTTGTATTACTGTACTTCGAAGGACACAAGAAGTTGAGCTTACTCCTTCATTATATTTGACGAAGGGTGTGAGAGTTTCTGGGCAAACTCACCTGAAAGAGAAACAAACTAACTTTAGGTATTGGATGGTCAAAATATTGATTCCCAAGTATTTATTATGAAATACAATGAAATTACCGTCATTTGTAATTATTATCAAACCACTTGTAGCAACATCAAGACGACCCACAGTAAACAAGCGCGGTTTTGGTACTCCTGGTTGAATCTTGTTCTGCAAATGTTAATTGAAAATGGAAAATTGTAAGTCCTAGCTATAAAGCATAAGAGGTGAAAGATTTCACAAATATTAGGAAGTACCATCACTATAAAAAAAAAAGAACATACCCAACCCTTCAAATAGTCATCAAATAAGGAGATAATGGACTTTGGTTCACCACAGGAACAAATATACCTGCAGTACATTGGAAATAACATTTAGATATGTTGCTCATATGGACTGCTGCCTCCATATATATTTCAAAAATGCTTTGATGGAACAAGATAGCGGAATGGAATATAAGAGCTGACCCTTTTGGCTTGTTAACAGCAAAATATAACTTCGGAGGAAGCTTCTTGGAAATGCGGTTTCCATTAACATAGATAGAATCCTTTGAGATGTCAACTTTGGTCTACATAAAAAAGAATGTATAAGAATCATATGTAACAAATAATAAACTTGTCTATGAATACATTTGAAGCACATGGATCAAAATTCATAGTAAAATGACCTAGCTAAATTAAAACAATTTATATTTTACCGCAATAGTACGATAGCTGGTCTCAGACCAGCACCAAATAAATGAGGATAAGAGCTAAAACATTACTTAGACATGCAACAAACTTAGAGAAGTAGCATTTCATCATTCATAAAGCTAAAAAAAAAAACATACCTGGGGTGCAGTGCAGACAGAACCATTGACGGTCACCTTCCCTTGGAAGATGAGCTCCTCGCATGTCCTTCGTGAGGCCACTGGAAGGAGCAATCAGGCCAGCATTCAGACAACTGATGTGTTGCTGTAACTAAGTAATATAACTTTGATTGAATTGATTCTGTCCAATTCAAGCACTTCAGTAAAATCATGCGTGATAGGAAGACTACCTCCTGCCGCGGCAAGGACCTTGGCGAGCCGCTGCGGTTCGTGCTCCTTGATATTCTCATTGTAGAATCTCCTCGCGGCCTTGGAGAACTTGGGCGGCGCCGTCGCGGGGGCGGCCTTCCTCTCCCTCACCTTGGCATTGGCGACGGGGGTGGCAAGGGCGGCGGCGCCCTTGTGGCTCCTGCGGGGGTCCTTCTTGGCCTTCTTGGCCTCCGCCTCCGCCAGCGCAATGGCCTGGAGGACGTCCGGCGGCGGCGCGGTGCGCATGGACGGCTTGCCGTCCTCCCCACGCACGATCCACGGCACCACCTGCTCCGCGGACGGGGCGGGGGATGAGGGTTTGGGTTTCGAGGGGGCGGGGGCGGTGGGCTCCGCGAAGGTGATGTTGAAGTCCGGGGCGCTGGAGGTGGAGGAGGAGGCGGCGCGGAGGAGGAGGGGAGGGAGGCGGCGGTGGCGGCCGCAGCGGAGGAGCACGCAGGCGGCGGGACGGGAGAGCAAGGGCGGGAAGGAGACGGCCGCTGCCGCGGCGGCGGCGGCGGCGGCGAGGGCCATGGCTCGAGAGTGGAGAGTGTGGGAGGGGGTTTATCGGTTATCGGATATGCCCGCGACGGCGCCTGTTTGGTTGCTTGGTACGCCTGGCTTGAGACGTGCCGGAGGGGAGACCAGCCCGAACAACGTTGCCACACTGACGTCAGTTCCTTTTTTTTTTAAGAAAGAAAACGTCAAATGGGGTCGGGATTAAAACTCCGACCCCCCCTCCTTCGTTTCGAGAAAATTAAAAGTCGGCGATTTAGATTTTTTTTTTAAAAAAAAATACACGACAGAGATTATAGATGCATAAGTGCACATATGCAATATCACGCTCACCTCCACAAATACATTCTCTATAATGTACTTATAACTCTAAAAAAAATAACCTTGTTTAGAAATATGAAAAATGTATGTTAATATAGTCATATAAAATAGCACTATGCTGAAATAGGCTAAACTGTTCCGATATAATACATCAAATCACAAACTCGACTACTTGGGCAAATAATGCCCCCCCCCCCCCCCCCAAACCTTGTTTGGACAATTGGATAATTGGATTATCCCTTAAAAGATGTAGACTAAACTTGCAATATTCCATAAATATGTGCACTTTAGGATCAGAGACTAAAATTTTGATCCCTTCCTCATTTCGTTTAGATTAACAAAATACCACCTTATAGTATATTCATCACTATTTAATGGCATTGTGATATCTTTTATTGGATACAAACTAGAGAGTAACACCAGTCATATAGTACAACTATTTCTAACTAGTCCACATTTCACTTTATGTTTTGTATGAAATACTCCCTAGAATTTAGTTTGATGGTTTCACTGTAGCTTAGTTACATGTTTTATGTTTGATGGATTCACCGTACAAGCAGTTGTCCATGTTCATCTCTATAATTTTTTTTTTCTGCACAAAAAGTGATAAAGAGGAGATTCATTAATAACGCCATACTTTATATGTTTTGCCATTAAAGGAAGCCAAATCCTCTCTCGTAGGGAACAAGGGAGAACTAAATACTAAACCTGATTGAAAAACGGTTAGGAAAGCTATATTGTTTTATAGTGTGACAATGATTGGTTTAACTTTGGGTTAACAACTGTTATTTTTTTCTTAAAAAAAAAGGGAAGCAAGACCGCTGAAACCGTCCTTGTTGTCACCGCAGACCACCTTACACACCGGATAAAACACCCCAACCGGGTACGGGCTAATCTGACCCCTTCATTCTTTCTTAAAGCTACCAACCAACGGCCCAGATCCAACATCCTCCTCCTGTGGCCAAGAACAAAAACCGACCAAGAGACCAAGCGCCGGCCACCACAAGAAAAAAAGAGCGCGCACGCATCGCCTCCCCAAAAAATCCACCCATTTTTCCGCGATCCCGTGCGCATCTCATCGCCCCCACCTCGTCCGCCATGGCCGATTCCGCCGCAGCCGCATCCTCCTCCCTCCCCCGCTCGCTGGCGTCCAGGAGGCCGCTGCCCTCCTCCCCTCTCCGCGGCGGGAGGCCCCGGTCTCCCCGCCGCTGCCGCTTCGGGTCCCGCTCGCTCCACCGGCTGCGAGCTCGAGCTGGGAAGGACGATCCCGAGGATCTGTATGGGCCCTACCCATGGGATCAGTCCTTGGATCTCACCACTGGCCTCGGTAAGTTCATGCCCCCACACTCTCCCTGATCGTTCTGGTTGGTATCCGAATTCGAATGGTTCTTCGATTCGACGGCGAGCAATGAGCTGGGGGCTACTTGCGCTAGTCTTGCGGTGGGGGTGATGGTTGATTTCCCAGCTGTTACTAGTCTGTGATATGATGATGAACTCATTCATTGTTCTGCAGATTTTGCTTATTTCACTTTGTGAGAGGCTTTATACTTGCGTTTATGGCGTGGCTTTATTTGGGGTTCAATCTCTGTTTCTTAACAGATATTCAGTGGGTGCCAGAAGATAGAGTCACACTGTTCACTTCTGATGGGCTTGTTCAAATAGGGGGTTCCCTGGTTCCTCGTCGAATTACTCCATCAGAGGTGCCGAATCATTCAACTTGGGCTCGTTTCATTAATCGTTCATTTTTCAGTAATAAACTATGTGGTATATTAGAATATCTTGACATTCAAGTAGGAAAACAAAGTCTCTTGCATCATAGACAGTAGTAAATTTATTCTTGTCAGTAAAACTAGGGTGCATCTTCAGTTCAGGAGTGAGATATGTTATAGATATTGCAGACACTATTGTTCAATGATCAGGAATGTTCTGTTCCAGGGAGACATAGTTTCACATTAAATCAGTTTCAATCTCTTTTGCATAGTGCATCACAGCCTAACTTCATATAATTCAATCATAGACTTGGATAGATGATTAGACTATTAAAAATGTTTGACTTGTCACTATGCTAAAAGTGCTTATATTTTGGGACAGAGGGAGTATCAAACAACAAAAACTTTTTCAGCATCCTGACCAGCATCAAATGTTCCACTATGAAATATAAGCTCTTTCACACCTCTGTTCATGAAACATTTGGATATATGCAGCAGTACTTATGGAAACGTGTCATGTCAGCAAGAAATTGAAGGGGAATGAATCCTTGAAAAGCAGTATCACATACATTATAGCACCAATTTTGTATCTCCCATGGTGGCACCAAGCTAACACCATAGAGTAGTGTACGTCTGTCATGTAATGTTGGAGTATCTTATTGCATAAACAAAGCATGCCATATTTATGGATAGCCGTATCTTTTTAGTATTTGTGCTCGCATTCAGTTCAGTTGACCTGAAATTATATCCAACTGAAACAAATTCCAAGTCGATTACAAGTAATCCAGTATGAAATCTAGCACAGTGTGAATCATCTCAAGAACACGATGTATCTCAAGCTGACAGGTTATAATTATGATCTGTGCCCAATGTGCTAGTTTAGACCGAATCATAGTAATGTACTGAATTACTTAAATTGTGCTAGTTATGAAATGATAATTACTTAAAAGATGTTGATTTTAGATAGAACTGCAAGTTTTATTATGTATTCACCATTATTTCCCATATTATCTGTACTCACTTCTTTTGTTATATTTTGACCAGAAGAGGCAACGAAAAGTAAAAGGTATACAAAATATCCAACGGTTTCAGGAGAGCTCGTACATGGACCCAAATCAAAGTCTTTGCCTTGGAGCACTATTTAACATAGCAGCAACAAATGTAATTATTTCCTCCTGCCTATTTGCCTATCATGCTGTTGCTTTCTTTTCTTGATGTCATTTCTCATTTCAGGGTCTAGATATGGGAAGAAGACTATGCATCTTTGGCTTTTGTCGCTCTATTGAAATGCTAAGTGATGTAGTGGAAGATACAGTATTGGAGCATGGTGGTGAGGTATGTGCAACAGTCTTACATGGAAAAAAAAATCTTTTGGTACTTTGCTCCTTACAGTTTTATATCTTCATTCTGACTACCGCATAGACTATCTTTCCATATTTGAAATAAGCCATGTAAAGGGTACCAACAGATTACCTTCTTTCTGAGAAAAAAAAAGATTTAAAAATGGCGCACATGGACAATGATGTGGCGTTTTATACTGAAGTAGATTGCGAAGCAAACATAACGGTGCCCAAGGAAACATGCCAGGTGTAGCTAAGTTTTTTCTAAAAAAAAACTTAATAAAAGGTTGAGTAGAAATGCTAAATTGTCAATGTTTTTAAAGGAGGAAACATCTATCTAGTCAGCTCTTGTTACATTTGGATTTTTTTTAGAACTTTACATTTGGATACTAAACTGTGAATTGAGTAAAGGGCGCCAATCTGCAGGTTGTCACGGCAGAGAAGGCAAGCAAAGATGGCCTCCAGGAGAAGTTGACCATGTCTGTTGCAGTGCCATTGTTGTGGGGTGTTCCTCCAGCATCAGAGACCCTCCATGTCGCGGTGCGGAGCGGTGGAGGCATTGTGGAGAAGATCTACTGGCAATGGGACTTATTTTAAAAGTCCCAAGCCGTCCAGTCATTAACAAATGATCCATGCCACGGTGTAAATACTCATTCAGTCTAATTCGCTGCTCGCATTGTGTCAGCAATTGTAAATTGTGCATATATGTAAACAGAAAACTTTGGAATCTCTATACATGTACAGACATGGTCACACCCCTGCATATAAGAAACTGTGAGTTAACAGCTCAACTTCTACTTTTATCCTTGTTTTAATATTTACCAGTGAACTGTCGTCACCGTTTGAGTATTGGAATATTGGAGATTTGGAGTAACTAAACAATGCGAACCAGTCATTAGTTGACTCCGGGAATCGGGAGTAACTAATCCCTGGCCTATGTCATTGTAGACACGTTTATGAGTTTTGGAGTAGTAACTAATGGGTTGTTTGGTTGATGCCTAAGCTTGCCATAACTAAGCTTAGGTAAGTTGTAGCATGTGGCAAAAGTATGGCCAAGAAATAGTTAGCCACAAGTGTGGCAATGTTAGCTCTAGTTATCTGAGTATGACATGTGGGACCATCTAAATATGACATGTGGGACCTAAGGGTAGAAAAGTGTGGCATGACACAACTGTGGCATTGAAACAAACACACGCCTAAAAACTGTGGCATGACTGAAATGTGGCGTGGCAAAATGAAGCAATCAACCAAACACCCCCTAAAACAATGTGTTGACTTCGGGATTTGGGACAAGATTACTCTGTGTTTTATATTGTCGCTGGGCCTTGATCATGATGAGTTGATGATACTCCAGGTGTGATGCTTCCTGCACTAACCCGTGCTAGTTGTCGCGCCGGTGGTGTCATGCATTTAGACGAATCGAAAAGACATTTTCAGGGGCGTTAGGGTTGCGAGTTGTGGGTCGTTTGGACTGTGGAGATCAGGCCAGGAACCAGGACGACGATTTTTAAGACCTTTGCAGGCAGTGCAAGGCTGCAAATTATGGCATTTTCGCTTGCGTTTATACTTATAAGCTAAACTTTAAATTTGATTTTTTCGTCCTAGTTTATTTTTAGTATTTACTTTTGAATCGCTAAGAATATATATAAAAGTTTTACTCGCAGATAATTTTTATTTGCTAATAAGTGATTTCGAATCAACGTATGAATAAGCGAAACAATGGAATGGCCTAGTAAGAGATTTGTTCAAACATCCCTTTCATCCTCCAACATGAGGTCGCCACAATGCCACTTGCCATTTTTCTGGACCGTAAGATAGTTGTCCAAATACCAAATTAGCCAAACAGTAGTTGCGTATCGGGATTTATAATGACGAACTGTTCAAAGCTTTATTGGACTTCACCTAGATCAATCCGGTTGAGGTTGACACTCACTCTCTCCCTCGTGCATTCAGATTTGTGACAAGCAAGAGGGGATCTCCATCGCGTGCTGCATTCTCCGTATGGACCGTATATTCAGATTTGTGACGAGCAAGAGGGGATCTCCATCGCGTGCTGCATTCTCCGTATGGACCGTATATAGCCATGGTCGTCGCCTCTCGCCGAACTGAAATTACTCCCTCTGTCCTAAAATATCTTATCTCCGTTATATTTAAATATAGTAACCTAGTAGTACAATGTTTATTCTTATACTATTTGCTATATTTTGATATTGAGAGAGTAACAAAGAGTGTGTTTAGTTCACGTAAAAACTGGAAATTTGGTTGAAATTGGAATGATGTGACGGAAAAGTTGAAAGCTTGTGTGTAGAAAAGTTTTGATGTGATGGAAAAGTTGAAAGTTTAAAGAGAAATTTTGGAACTAAACTCGGCCTCAGCATCAAACATGATATATATTACTACAAATCAGAACAGTACCACATTGATAGAAATCAGAACAGTACCACATTGATAGTAGTAGGATATGTTGTATCCAATCGTAATTGCTACTTCTTTGTTTCACAATATAAGTCATTCTAACATTTTTCATATTTATATTGATATTAATGAATCTAGATGTTAATCACATCAATATGAACGTGAGAAATGCTAAAATGACTTATATTGTGAAACGGATGGAGTATATTTTAAAATTAAAAAGTAGGAGTATAAATCTATGTGCGAAAGTTGAATCTCGTGCATACATATTGAATATGACCTTTGATCTAGACGGTCGTTCCTATCCACTGTACCCTAGGTATCTCCATGATGCAGACTTCGACTTCGTTTTCATTCCACTTCCATTTGTTCGATCATGAATGTGTTGGTTTAACTATTATGGGAGTGTTCGGATGTCCCTTTTCCTAACTCACATCTCTCGTTTTCTGCACGCACGCTTTTTAAACTACTGAACAGTGTGATTTTTTAAAAAGTTTATATACAAAAGATTAATCACGCGCTAATGAATCGCTCCGTTTTCCGTACGTGGGTGATGGGTTCCCAACACCCACCATCGAAGACAACCTATATGCTCTATTGCTCATTCATGCTCCACATCTACTACCCCAGTTTTTCAAAAGGTTCTCGAATTGGATTGACATAAATCCAATTGATATGACGGCGTTATGGTTGATTGTTATATGTTCGGAAGGAGGTGAACTTCTTCCCACTACACAAAATATGATGATTTATTGGGGAAGTATTAAAGATGTGGTAGTGAAGTTGTGGGTATGTGACTCCATTTATCAGGGTTCAAAACTTCAAATCATGTTGTCACGTATGCAGGTGGACTTTCAACAAGATTTTCAGGGATATGCCGTTGGTTTTCGTCTCTTATGATGCAATTGTGGTTGATTGTTATGGGTTCAGAAGGAAGTGAATTTCTCCCCACTAAGCAAAACATGATGATTCATTGGGAAAGCACTAGTAGTGTGGTGGTGGAGTCGTGGGTGTATGATTCCATCCACTAGGATTTAAAATCATGTTGCACATAAATATTAGAAATACGCACATGCAGGTGAGATTTTAACATGATTTTAGTGAGATTAGGTATATGCCGTTAGTTTTCGTCTCTTAGAGTATGTGTTAGGGGACGTTCGTAGGGGGTGTGAGTGTAGTGTTGCATGTGTAGTGGTGTAATATATAATGACTCATTAGTGTACAATTAATTACTTCATCCGTCCTAAAATAAGTACAATTCTCTAAATTTGAATTAGAGGCGTGCACTTATTTCGAAACGAATGAAGTAAATATTAGTTCAAAATATTTTAAAATATATATTAATATGTTTTTTACACTAATTTATATGTAAAAAGTTTATATAAAAATATATTATTATTCGATAATTTGAAAAATATGCCCATGAAAAGTTTGGAAAAGTGAAGTTAGTAAAAGAGAAGTTGGGAAAGGAGCAGTACTACAATTCTACAAATGTACAATTCAACAGAATTTTTTTGAGAATTAATATTATTTTTATGGAAAATCGCAAAAGTAGTGGTCAACCGGAGAAAATCGCGAAAGTAGGTCCCTGTCGAACGGGTGCAGTTCGATAGGGCGCCTATCGAACGGCCAGAGCGCGACTGGCGAGGAGATCGGAAGGCTGCCGTTCGACAGGACCTATCGAACAGCCCCCGTTCGACAGGCAGGGCTGTCGAACTGCCCCTGTTCGACAGGAGGGCTGTCGAACTGCCCCTGTTCGACAGGATATCCGTCGAACTGGCGCAGTTCGACAGGGTCGCGTTCTCCATTTATTTGTAATAAGTTATTTTTTTTAATAATATGTAATTTATTTTAGTGTGTAAGAAAGGAAAATATTTTTGTAATGTTATATGTATATGATTTAGGGTTTTGATAATGTTTGGTCAGAAATTGTAGTATTTATTTGTTGGTTAAAATATTTGAATTATTTAGTTTCATTATTTTTTGTATATTTGAATGATAATTTGTCATGATTCATTCGAAGGGTATGCTACTGAGTAATTATCCGAAGAAGTTTATGAAATAGTACTGATAGTACTAAGTTAATCGTAAAGTGTTTCTCAAATAGTACAGACAGAACATAAATGACTAAAAGTTTAATACAAATAGATAAGTCAAGGACGATCAGTGCCCTTCGCACGCTTGCTAGGTCCTCCCTTCTTTCTACGCCTAATCTGCTCAGTGGGATATGTCAAATTATCAGGGGGGTGCCTATCTCTAGCTGCCTACTGTGGTGTCACGTCTGGCCCCTGACCGGCCTCCGTCTCCTGCGTCGGCTGTGTGACCTGAGGTGCTGCGTGCCAGTAATCCATCCCTACTTCCCCCTGGGGAGGATCAGTGGAAAAGAAGTCCTCAATGAATGCTGTGCGAGGGGAGTAAGCAGGCATTCCGTGATGCGTCGACGCCGAACCGTACTCATCGTCTGTTTACACAAGAGGAAGAAACCAAAAAATATGGCGTAGTTAGTAACGATACATATAATTAGAAACTAAAGCGTGTTATTGTTTAAAATGACTTACATGTGTGCTGTGTGTGGCCCTGCTCTGGCGCACGCGGAGTGATATGAAGTCCCCATGCTGGTGTGTTCAACACGTTGTCCCCCGTTGGCATGTAAGGGAAGTGTGCCGACCCAGATGCTCCCTGCGAGGGGTGAACATAAGGCGGAGTTTGGAATACCTGCGGACGTGGTGGTGCCGTGCTCGACGTGGGTACCCCTGATCCGGCTGACCCCCTGGTGTACTCCGGTGCTGGGGTGTGCTGAAAGGAAGGACGACCGTGAGATGTGTGGGCCGCTTCGTACCCGCGACGTGAAGAGGATGGACCACTCCGATCCACGCTGGAACGTCGGGGTAGTGGTGGTGATGGCCGTCGGCCCGACGTCTGCACCACATCTGCCGCGCTCCGACAGGAGACACGACGTAGTAGTGCGGCAGCACGTGCAAGGAAGTTGTGAAGGATGCTCGCCACGTCGTCAGGCCTGACGACTGGAGGTCTCGCCTCTAGTCTTTGCAGCAGGGTGTCGGACTCCACGTGAACGTGCTCAACAAATTCCGCATGTTCCACAAATAATCAAGGCAATTAAAATTATTTAACCAGTTGCACATTTATTAAGAGTATTTAACAAGATGCACATTTGTTAGAAATAATGAACCAGTTGCACATCATTTATAAATACTGAACTAGTTCCACATTTATGTAAGAAAAGGAACTAGTTGAACCAATTGCACATTTATTAGACATACTGAACTACTTGCTAACTTTTTAAAAATATTGAACTAGTTGCTCAAATTCCACAAATAAACACGTACCATTGAGTTGTAAGCTGATCTAGGCTGAGGGGCAAACGTGTCAGTAATCGCTGCCTGGTGGGGGACGGTGCTATCTCCTTGTGGAGGAAAACACCTCCATCGTGTAACACTGCGGTACCAACGAAGGTAAGCTCCATAATAACTCCCATCGTCTGGAGGTGTCTGAAGTGCCAAGTTATCAGCTGCGTGCTCCCACTCTTGTATCGTCGGCTGAACCGTGGTCACAATAACTAGCTCGTAGGAAAGCCCGAGCCCCTTTCTGGAGTACCTGCACAACAACAAATTCACACATTAGAAAAAATGTTGTGCAGTGATTTATTTTAAAAAATGTAGGATTAAACAACTGTGATGTGAACTAACCTATGAAGACTATCAGCCAAAGGACGACCATCTCTCGGAGGGAAGTCCTGATACATGCCCAACTGTTTGAGAACCCTGTGGACATTGTGTGGCTCGACGTGCACGTCCACCACGAGGTGACAAGTCGTCATCCAGAGTTGCATATCTCGCGTGCAAAGATCCGCGAGACCGTGCGGTGCACGATCATTGACATCGTGCTGAGTGTAGGGAGTCCACCGAACACGGTCAGGCGTAAGCTGATCAAAGTCAGCTACAAACTGAGTGTAGACACGATGTAGATACAGATATTACAGTACCAGCACACATAGATACAGATAAGAACAGTTCAGTACATTTCAATTTAAAATTACAAGCCCACGACACATATATTATGATATTACAAGTGCAGTGCAGTTCGAAATTTAAATTACAATTCCAATACAAATACATGACGATATTAAAAGTGCAGTGCAGTTCAAAATGAAAATTACAAGGCCATTACAAATAGATTCGGGTAATAAAAGTGCAAGAAAGTTCAAATTAAAATTATAGACGCAATAAACGTAAATTGAACGATAACGATCTTCAAAGTAGGGAGTCCACCAAGGATAATAGCGAACTAAGGATTATTTTTCTTCTTCGACTTCCCCTTTGGAACGCGACGAACATCAGCGCCTGTGGCATCTTGCCCTACATTGTACATGCTGCAATCTTTACGGGAATGGTTCTCCCCGCAAAGAATGCAAGCTTTCTTACGACGAGAACGATCTTTCACTCCAGCTTCATCCATAAGGTTCTTGATCCTGCGCGACTGGCGATGACCCTTAGTATCAACTAATAAATTTGAGTCAGGAACCCAATTGGTTTGCCCTGGAGGAGGACGAGTGAAATCGCACACGGCACGCCAACCACGCAATTCACCACGCCAAGTTGCCTCCCACGATTCCTTTCTAAAGTAGGGAGAAACAAAAATGTTTCCATCAACACCCCCTTTTGCGGAAGCAGCAAGAACATGGGAACATGGCCGATGTAACAGGTAAGGCTTGTTGCAATTGCATTTGCAAGCGTGATACTCTGGCCACAACGTGCATTCCAATGTGATGTCAGTAGTCCCAATGCCGACACCACTCTTGTCACGAAGTCGTATCTCAAATAACAACTCTGTATTCCCAGCAGGCCACACTCTGTGGATTCCTCCCTTCTTACTTTTCTCATCCATGTACTGTGTAATAGCGGGGCTATACTTAACACTGGGTTTGCTGAGGTTCAGACTAGCCATGGAATACCTTTTACAGAGATACTTCTGTGTACCCCTCGTGATGCCCTCCAGGATAGCAACAAGTGGTAGAGGTCGTGTATTCTTCATAACCCAGTTATACACTTCAGCAAGATTTGTTGTCATCACACCATACCTCGATCCATCTGTATCGTACAACAACGACCATTTCTCCCTTGGCTCAAATTCTACCCACTCCGTGAAGCACTTCGTGACCCTTCCACGCTTCCTGCGCCGAGTAATACTTGGTGCTTCATTAGGAATGGGTTCAAGTCCCTCCGGCTCCTCCTGTCTGGCAACTATAGGTTTTTTCCTAACCTCTTCCATGTGTGTAGTGGTCAAACGATCCAGTTGATCCCATATGGCATCAAACTTTCTTTGTTGATTCTGCTTGCATAACTTCTTGAACAGGTCCATCAATCTCTTACTCCTGAATTGTCTATAAAAATTAGCCCCAAAATGTCGCATGCATCATCTGCTATGTAAATCTGGCCATGGCACGGACTGTGTGACATCTTCTTGAAGCTTCTGTATCGCTGATAGCAAACCGGCGTGTCGGTCATGCAGAACACACACATTTGGTCTGTTTTCAACAACACACATTTTAATGTGCCGCAAAAACCATAGCCAGCTTGATGTGTTCTCGCTTTCAACAAATGCAAAAGCAATAGGAACGACATGGCTATCCGCGTCGACTCCGATCGCGGTTAGAATTGTTCCTCTGTACTTGCTTGTCATGAAAGTGCCATCAACACAGAGCAAAGGAATGCAATTTCTAAAGGCCTCTATCATGCACCCAAATGACCAGAAAGCCCGACGAAGAACATTCTCCCCATATTCATTCACCTCATCGAGAATAGCCATGTGTGTGCCCGGATTTCTTGCCTGCATCACCTCCAATAGTGGGGGAAGATTGTGATAAGAATCCTCATAAGTTCCAAACCTCATCTCCAATGCTTTCTGTTTTGCCCTCCAAGCCTTGTCGTACGATATCTCATATCCGTACTCTTTCTCAACGTCATGCATTATGGTGAAAGGGGACAAAGATGTTTTTCTAACCACCTTTGAATATACCATTTGTGCCACAAATGCCGCTGTCAGGTTTCTGTGCACCAGACGGGTATTCTCCAACAAACACGTATGTTGCTCAACCCTCGAAGCTACCCATAAAGTGTCATGTTGTGGCTTGTAACCATGCACTCTCCAAGGACATCCACCCTGTATGCACTTCACGTCATACGTCGTCCTATTTGAAACCTTCACCCTGAACTCACGCTTCTGGACAAATGCCCACCTCTTCACCGCATCTTGTAAGTGACCTTTGTCATGAAACATCTGTCCAACTTTCACCTGCTTACTATCATAACACCAGTGGGCATCTAAACCATCGTTTACCTTCATACGACTCATTGATATGGTCGTCCAATCATCGGGTATGTTGGTTTCGTTGTCCCACAGTGTTGTATCTTCTCCTTCCACTACAAGCGCAAGGTATTCCTCGTTTTCCACTTCCATCTGATCCACTACCGCCTCATTCTCCTTCGCTGCATCAACACGCATAGGCGAATCAGGTTCTTCATCGTCCAAGTCGTTGGCCTCACGATTAGTACCACGAACAATGACCTCTCCTTGTGTATTACCCTCTACTACTTCTTCCCCTCGACCTTGCTTAGTCTGCCAAACATTTTCAGCTTGTCCACCTTCCAACGGAGTTTCTTCCACCACGGCATGACTTGACTCCCCCGATCGATCAACACATGTTGTCTTCTGCACCACTATTGCCAGGCTATAGCCTTTCTCCCTTACTTTACTAACAAACTTCCTCCAACTCCCAGTTGACGCAACCTCCACTACTCTCCACTGCCATCCATGTTGACCCCTCACTGGCCACACGGCACTTATGACAAATTTATCGTGCACTGGATCTACCCCAAACATATTATACAACCACCCTAACACGTCGTTCAAACCCATATGCTCCGGTGCATTCAGACTAGTATCATGGAAGGCATATACAGTCAAATCCACCCCGCTATCACATATTTGTATAGGAGCATCGCCATAATACAGACGAATGGGCATATCACCTGACATCCTGATAAAACATGACAAATAGTCTCACGTTTAATCATTTAATCATTCGATAATTACCCTATTACAACTTATACTATATTGCCGTGTACTAATTTACAACTATTAGTAACAAACAACTAGTTTAATAATCCAAATAAAATATAACACCTTTGTACCTATTTTAACACACAACATATCAATAATATGTACTAACTAAGAACTAATTTAACCGTACAATTACTTAAATACCTCTACCAACATTTAGCAATAACAAATATGTGCTAACCATACATACTAACATCGAACAATGCGAAACAATTAACAACTCTTAAACCAATTTTTTTATTAAACTTTCATATGCATTGTACTTAGGGATTACTAATGTATACCTTAACTTCACTGCTGGAGGGCGTCGCCAACCCTTTCCTCCCGGCCGGTGCCTCCTCGGCCTCCTCTCCGGCCTGCTATCCCCTCCCCTCGCTCCCTCCGGCGCTCACGGCGACGATGTGGCGACTCTTGGCGGCAGCTGGCGATGTGGTCACAAATCGAACTCGCGGCCTGGGTGGACGGGGCTTTAAACCGGCCTGTCGAACGCCCATTGTTCGACAGGGTCGGTGGAGGGCCCTGTCGAACGCCCCCGGTTCAACAGGCCTCGCGGCGCCGGGTGGTGGGCCCTGTCGAACTCCCTCCGTTCGACAGGTGAGCGTGTCGAACGCCAGCCGTTCGACAGAGCTTTGTCGACTGCCCGTCGTTCGATAGGTGCCCTATCGAATTGCACCCGTTCGACAGGGACCTATTTTCACGATTTTCCCCGGTTGGCCACTACTTTTACGATTTTCCATAAAAATAATATTAATTTTTTTCTCAAAAAAATTCCAATTCAACGCACCCTCGAGTCAGCACTCACCACAACAAAGCCCTCCTATTCTCCCGCACCAACCAAACCCAAGAGGCGGGGGAAGCCATGGCGAGCGCGTCGGTGCCGGCCGCCGGCTACGGCGCGGACGGCGTGTACCGCTCGCTGCGCCCGCCCGCGCCCGTCGCGTCCGACCCGGGCCTCTCCCTCACCGACCTCCTCCTCCGCCGCGCCGACGCCTGCCCCTCCGCGGTCGCGCTCGCCGACGCGGCCGCCGGCGGCCGCGCCCTCACCTTCGCGGAGCTGAGGTCGGCCGTCCTCTCCACCGCCGTCGCGCTCTCCTCCCGCGCGGGCGTGCGACCCGGCGACGCCGTGCTCCTCCTCGCGCCCAACTGCGTGCTCTACCCGGTCTGCTTCTTCGCCGTCACCGCCCTCGGCGCCGTCGGCACCACCGTCAACCCGGACTACACCCCGCGGGAGATCGCCAAGCAGGTCTCCGACGCGCGCGCCAAGCTCGTCATCACCATCTCCGCCCTGGTGCCCAAGATTGCGGGGCTCCGCCTCCCCGTCATCCTCCTCGACGACGACGCGAACGCCGCGGCCGCCTCCTTGCCTCCGGACGCCACCGTCACGCTCTACACCAACCTCGTCGCCGGCGTGAAGGAGGCGGATTACCGCCGCCCACCAATCAAGCAGAGCGACACGGCGGCTCTCCTCTACTCGTCGGGCACGACGGGGGATAGCAAGGGCGTCATCCTGACGCACCGCAACTTCATCGCCGCGGCGAGGATGGTGACCTCCGACCAAGACGAGCGCCGGGAGGGGCCCAACGTGTTCCTCTGCTTCCTCCCCATGTTCCACATCTTCGGCCTGTCCGTCATCACGTACGCGCAGCTGCATCGCGGGAACGCCATCATCGCCATGTCGCGGTTCGACATCAACTCCCTGATGGAGGCCGTGCAGAGGCACCGCGTCACGCACCTGTTCTGCGTGCCGCCGGTCATTATCGCGCTCGCCAAGCACGGGAAGGCCGGTAAGTACGATCTCAGCTCTCTCAAGTTCATCGGCTCCGGCGCCGCGCCGCTCGGCAAGGATGTGATGGAGGTCGTGGCCAAGAAATTCCCGGACAGTGAGATTGTTCAGGTACTAATTGAACTGAACATTTGATATTTTTCACTGTTTACTTTCATAATATATGCTGATGAATTGTTGAAATTAGCTTATGGTTGGTTGCTTTGAGGTGTCAATCCATACAGGATAGGTTGATCCATCATGGCATCATCCCGTGATTACGATGGGATTAGTCAAGTCATTGATTGACCAACCCATTGCATTCCTCAAACCTAACACGAAATAATGGTTCAGAGTTACGTTTGGGCAGTGAATTCATAACAACATTTGTTCTGACCGTACGTTTTATAAGGACATACCTGGTTTGATTTGGAATGACTACGAAATTAAGTCTTTCTTTGGCTGTGCCTTTGTGGGGTCTGATCTTGGTTGTGCCTTCCAGGGCGTAATATAGTGTTCATATGTGAAAGGGCATGTAGCCTAGTGATTGCAGTGACCTGAGTAGCACCCCAAGGTCCTGAGTTCAAATCTGCATAGGAGTGAATTTCAGATTGTGTTATTTGAGGGCTAAGTTCCTTGTTTGATAGGCTAAGTTCCTAATTTAAAAAGGTTGCATATATCCGGTTGGATGTAGAGGCCGGGTAAAAAATCTCTAAAAAAATATTGATTCGATAGAAGCTGGAAAATGACATTTAAGTGCGGGAGACTGACAATTTTGTCCTATAAATATAACCTCATTGAGGCAAAGGACATTTAATTTCTTTTTGTTTCTATATTTATACTTAAATCCTTAAAGTGTGTTCGCGTGTGTGTTGGTGATAGGAAATTAAGAATGTCAACTTGCAATATCTGAATAATAATGGATATTTTGCCTAATGCAGTGGGCATTGAACTGGTTCATTCGTAAACTAGTCCTATCAGATCTGTTTGGATCAATTTGGTATATTGTATGTGCTAATTTCAGTCTGATGTGGTCCACAGGCCAACACCAAGACAACTCGTCAAGATGTAAAAACTTGCTCTAAAAGATGTGATTTCTGGTCTGTAGCCAACTGTTCTAGACTCAAGAGGTGTGCAGGCATTTCTAGTGTGTCTTCAAACTGCAACTTATGACAGCTAAGGCCTTTTTGTTGACATAGCTGTAATAAACATTGTCCGGATACATCTTTGATGCAGAGGCTGGATTTATTTCCGTAATCCAGTTTTGGTCAAAAAAAAAAAAAGACATACACCGTCATGGTCTAGCACCTAAGCAACCACTGCAATAAGATCACAGAACTATCTTAAAGTGGTTTGGTAGTTTGTTGCACCACACTCCTTGTGGGAACATGATTAGTGTGGTGGCATTCTTTTCTTCCATGATGCTACAGTGTATCTGTAAAATCAACTAGTAAGGTTAAGAATTTTATATCTCAAGTTGTATGGCATGTTATGCTCCTCTTTCAGGGTTATGGTATGACTGAGACTTGTGGAATCATATCGCTCGAGTACCCAGAAAAAGGACAGGCTCGTGAATTTGGGTCAACTGGCACGCTTGTCTCAGGAGTTGAGGCAAAGATTGTCGACATAAAGACATTAAAACATCTACCGCCCAATCAAGTAGGAGAAATTTGTGTTCGAGGGCCAAATGTAATGCAAGGTAAAATTTGAATTATACATTTGATCAATTATTATACACTGGTTCTCAAAATAACTATTTCAAATACCAGTATCAGTCTAATACTATAATCATATTACAATGGAACTGTAGCTATTTATTTGTATTCTTTGTTTTCAATTGTACATTGAGTCATTGACAATGCACAATTTAACAAAGACTAGTGATGTCGAGCATACAAAAAATATTTGAAAATATTCCACCTACTAGACCTCACTATTTTTCACTGACAATAGATCCCAATATATCTTATGCATTCTGTCCTGCAATAATAATAGAACAAAACAATTGCTTACCTATCTGAATGTTGCGTTTGTAGGGTATTTCAACAATGTGCAAGCTACTGAATTTACAATCAAGCAAGGGTGGTTGCACACTGGTGATCTTGGATACTTCGACGGAGGAGGCCAGCTTTTTGTTGTTGATAGACTTAAAGAACTGATTAAGTACAAAGGTTTCCAGGTAAAGAAATTGATTCTTTTTCCCTAAATACTTTTTTTTGTCCAAAAAAAATTTCTGGTCAGCCCCTCTACTTATGTTAGTCACATCAGGGCCCTTGCTAATACTATGTAAATTATGTCATTGAATCTCGTGCTGATGAGTTTTATAAGCAGACTTGAAAGATCATATACATATAGGATCAATTCAGAGTTTGCCGCAAGGATAGATTGATATAGCACACCAAACCTTCTGAAATTGTCGTGGCTTACTAGAATAATTTCGTGCATATATTATTTATTTATTAAAAAAATGCTTAGCAGGAGCTCTTTCCATTCACTAAAGAAAGAATCATATAGAATAGAGCTGGTTACAATCAGAACACCAAAGAGAGAATAATATAGGATTATTTCTGGGCTCCGTTCGTCATGTATCTTAACATTTTTGTCTTGAGCATACCATAACCTCACCTTTTCTTTTTTATGGAATTTCCTGTCTTTTTTGTTTACTCTACTGATAGATTGCATCTACTGAGATTACAATACACTGAAAAGCCTTTTCTCTATTACCATTTACCAAAGCACATATTTATAGATGGGAGTTGTCTGAATAAGATCCTTCTTGTTTTAGTATCCACTATAACAATCATAACAGGAATCCAACCTAATGCTTGTGTTTTGTCTTGCTTGAGCACGCGTCATATTTTGTCCAATATATGGAAATAGCTAATCATCTCCTTTATTTTACTTCTTTAGATTGCACCTGCCGAGCTTGAAGGGTTACTTCTATCTCATCCAGAGATTCTAGATGCTGTTGTTATCCCGTAAGTTGAACCACCTAAAAATTTAAGTGTTTCTTGCTCCTTATGATATAAACTGTTCGCTTGTTACAACATTGTTGTTTTGGATCGTTCTCTCTCTGTTGTGCCTTGTTTCTTAACGGAGCTCTACTTGTTTCCAAGGTTTCCTGATGCTAAAGCTGGGGAGGTTCCCATTGCCTATGTTGTTCGGTCACCTGACAGTTCATTGACAGAAGTTGATGTCCAAAAATTTATTGAAAAACAGGTGAGGCTGATTTGGAAGTTGGAACCTTGTTTAATTGGGATTGTAGACTAGTGGAACTTTTTAGCAGCATGAGACAATTTGGGTAAAGCTCGTCCAGATACTAATGTTAATGAAACATGGAGCATCAATTAGTACATCGAGTTTCATTCATATTTTTCTTAGAGTTCTACCCACTTTGACTATACATGTACCTGGTAAAAATCCAAGATCTAAATAGCAAGAATAGTTTGCTGTGCTGGCCAAACACTGGTATTAGCATCCAACATTTGCAATCCATGAATGAACAAGTATTTTGTGTTTTCCATCGACTGCATACTACCCTAGGTGCTAATATACTTTTTTTTGACACAAAGGTGCTAATATATTTCACTAATGAACTGCATTATCAGGTGGCGTACTACAAAAGATTGAAGAGAGTTACCTTTGTGGGCAGCGTGCCCAAATCAGCTTCAGGAAAGATTCTGAGAAGGCAGCTTATCGCCCAAGTGAGATCATCCAAGTTGTAGCAAATTAATCTGCTTCTCTTTGGGAATCAATCGTGCTTATGTTTTGCCTTGATTCAGCCATTTTCAAAACTTGTCCGCGAAGGTTTATGTAGCATTGTGAAGACCACGTGAATGTATGATGTATCAGAATGGAACCCCCATACTGTGCATTATAATAATGGAACATAAATGCCAATTTCAAGATAACATACTCTGGAAAGGATATAGTACTAAAGAAAAAAAAAGCTCTGACTTAGGCTGCGTTTGTTAGTTAGGCCTTGTTTAGATCTAAAAACATTTTAGCCAAAAACATCACATCAAATGTTTGGACAATGCATAGAGTATTAAATGTAGAAAAAAAACCAATTGCATAGTTCCGTGTAAATTGCGACACGAATCTTTTGAGCCTAATTACGCCATGATTTGACAATGAGGTGCTACAATAAACATTTGCTAATGACGGATTAATTAGGTTTAATAAATTCGTTTCGTAATTTACAGGCATAATCTTGTTTAGTTATTAGTCTACGTTTAATACTTCAAATGTGTGTACGTATACTTCAAAAATTTTACACCCAAGAAGTAAACACGGCCTTAGGGTTCCCAACCCAATCCCTTTCGCGCGCACGCTTTTCCAACTGCTAAACGGTGTGTTTTTTTGTAAAAAAAAAATCTATACGAAAGTTACTTAATTAATCACGCGCTAATGGATTGCTCCGTTTTCCGTACGTAGGGCACTAGTTCCTAATTGGGGGAAACGAACACAGCCACTATCCTCTAGCATTGAGCCTACAAGTACCAACTTATTCCGTTCCAAAAATCCAATCTAGTTAGGGATAGGACATTACCTCTCCAATGAATGTCTCATCCCTGCAAGGTCAATAGTGCAGCAAGCGGTAAGCTCCAAAATTTTATCATGTTAAGATAGAGCTAACTTAAGAAGCCAACTCATACAACAGGCTAACTACAAATTATCTATAAGCTGCCTTGGTTAGAGCAAGTTTAATAGTATAGCCCACTACTAGCTCCAATTCATCTATAGCCAATTCATACAATAGTTTCTTACTATACTATTAATATATGGTCTCACATATCATACACACATTGTGTCTTGGAGTCCGTGCTACAGCTGACTACATATCTATAGCCTGCTGCTCTTCTCTCCAATTATTTATCTCCATAAAATATGTTTATAGCTAGTTAATAGCCTGCTATTGTACCTGCTCTTAAAGCATACATACATTAAATATAACAAGTTTTTTTTTGTGTGGGACCTACATAACAAATTTTTTCTCATCTCCCGTGACCGATACAGCGTGGGGCGCTGTGCAAGCGCCGGCGCTAAAACAAGCATCCGCTTGTTTCTCTTCCAGCGATTTCTTTCTCTAATCTGGTATTAGGCTGATTAATAAGTTTTGGAGCCTTCTTAACGGCGCTATTGTACCTGCTCTAAGTAGGTTAGGTTTATGGGATAGAGGGAGTACGAGACTCGCGCATCAATCATTTCATTCCATGCCAAACACATGATGCATGTGATTGACAATTGTTTGGAGGCAAAAGGTAGGGGTAGCGATGTGTGCTACGCTGGCAGCCTTGCTGCACGTGTCATCGTGGAGGACGTACGTGTAGGCAGGCGTCTTGATCGACGAGCTCCTCGGCTCTTCTACGGGTCCGGTGCTTGTGACTTGGGAGAGATCCGAGAGGGTAAACCGGCCGGCGAGAAACGGGAGGAGGCAGCTTGCGAGCAGCAGGGGTGCATGCCTCTTGCGGGACACGAGCGAAAATGCCGTGCGCGTGGCGCGGACCGAATAGTTGATGGGCCGAATACCGGCACGAGAGGGCCGTGGTTTAGCGGGCCCCTCATGGACCGTAGTTTGGCCTTTTAGGCCTTAATTTCCATGGGCTTCTAGTCACGTGTGTGCGCTCCTAGGCTATTGACGGCATAGATGTCTATCAAAACCGGTGCAATTTTACTCCGCTTAAAAATAAGTTCACTTTGCTATATAGCACTCTATCCAAAGGAAAGATTTGAACTTAGACTAGCTGCGTAGGTACTCTATTTTAGGTTGATATCTACTCCGTCTTGATCAGAATCCCACAGTGAGATGAGATGTTCCAATTCCAATTGTGCTAGTCCCTGTTTGTAATGTGTAAATATTTTTCATAAATAAATTAGTCAATGTCCATCTGAATCTAGAGTAAACACTTGTAACCCGCTTGCCATTGTTTTTTTTTCATTAAAAGAAAGAAGAAAAGTTGCATCTCATTTAGAATTTTAAGATTAATCATTTTCGTTAACCAGCCTTGTTTTCATGTCTAAGAAGACGACTTTAAAAACGGCCTAAAATAATCTTTAAAATCATATTTCACAATCTGACTTTTTAGGAACTAATGAGGTGGAAGAAACGGTGGCCAAGCTTACATGGTAGTAGCACGTATATCGTTTCACATGCATTGGTTGATCTAAAAAAACAATTACAATTGTGTACCTGTCTCTCTATATAAAAAGGGGAAATTTAATACACTTTTATTTGCCAGCCAGATTGAGTTGGCAACGAATTCTTAACAAGAATGACAAAAAAAAAAGGGAAAATGAAAAGAGAAAATATCATCGAGCTTTTGGTCGCTGTTAAAAAAAACTCGACACGACATTACTTGCAAAATTAAGCCTAGTAATTAGCGGTAGTAGTATGCTCGTCCCTTCTACAAACAGGCGAGAGAGAGAGTGAGAAAATCAAAAACGATAAATGGCAATGCGCGCTCGATCAGGCCGCCGTGCGAACGGCTCAGCTAGCAGCGCGGCATCTTCTTCTTCTTCTTCTTCTTCTTCTTCTTCTTCGTCTACTGTTGCGGCTGGCCCGCCATGCTGAAGGATTGGCTCTTCATCGCCGTCGACTTCTTCGCCGGCTCGCCGCCGGCGCCGGCGCCGGCCATGCTGAACGATTGTCCGCCCATCGCCCTCGGCTTCTTTGCCGCCGGCGCCGCCTCGTCGGCAGGTACTTCTGCGGTCACCCGCTCGGCCTTCTTCTTGTTGGACTTGGTCCCCTCCTCCTCCGCCGCCGCCTCATCGCCGGCGGCGCCACCAGCTGCCGCTTGGTTTTCATCCTCGGAGGCCGCAGCAGCCGTCTTCGCCTCACCGGCCGCCAACCTTTCCGCCATGGCGCCGCCTGAAGCATCCGTCTTCGCCTCACCGGCCGCCATCCTTTCCTCCATGGCGCCGCCTGGTGCCACCTTCCTGGACTCCGAGGCGGCGGAGGGGGACTTCCCGGTGGCCGGCGCAAAGGAGCCCATCATCTCCTCGGGGTTCAGCGAGCTGATCCGGATGACGGACGGGCCGTCGTCGGTGTTCACCGGGTTGTTGAACTCGGAGCACGATTTCCTGATCTCGCCGTCCTTGCCGGTGATGACCTTCATGCCGCTGAGCTTCGTCATGGCCTTGCCGAAGGTGGCGTCGAACTGGTCGGTCTTTTTACCCATGGACTCCACGATGGGCTTCGTTCTTGCGTCCATCCCCATGAGGCGGTCGATGGTGAGCGGCATCTTCTTGTCCATGACGAGTTCGAAGTAGTTGGGGTCGACGACGTCGGGGGTGATGGGATCAAGGGGGACGGCTCCCTTGTCGCCGTCCTTGCCGTCGCAGAAGGCGGTGATGTTGGAGCGGTAGGTCGGGTCGATGGGCGCCGCGTCGACCTCGATGAAGAAGCACTTGGCCTTGCCGATGGAGTGGCCGCCGGCGAGGAGGACGACCATCTCGTCGGCGCTGAACCCCTTCTCGGAGAACTGCGCCATGAGCTTCGGGACGGCGATGTCCGGGCCGGGGAGCGAGTCGCCTTCCTCGCGGTTGGAGACGAGCGAGTCGCGGCGGCCGGTGGGCACGTCGTAGTTGGGGCCCCCGGCGAGGCGCACGCTGTCGCGCGTGCTGAGCGCCACGATGTCCGCGCACGACACCACCTGCGGGCACTCCTTCTCCAGCTCCGTCTTGATCTCGTCGATGATGTCGTAGCCCTTCACCGAGATGTTCGGCCCCGCCTCCTTCTCCGCGCTCTGGTTCGACAGCGGGTCGATCAAGATCGACGCGTCGCATCCCTACACCACCCACACACGCACACGCACGCACGCATCCAACATCACATGCAAGTCAGCATCCGCCATTGCCGGCGGCGGGCAAGGTCGTAGAACGTGAACGTACATTGGCGAAGCAGTCGTGGAAGAGGAGGCGGAGGAGGAGGGCGGAGGTGGTAGGGTCCTCCTTGAACTTGCGCTCGATGACGGTGGAGACGACCTTCTCGACGTTGGGGCAGGTGGAGGAGTAGAAGTCGGCGGAGAGCTGGGCGGTGGCGAGCAGTGGCGCCGCGGCGGCGACGACGCCGGCGAGGAGGAGGAGGAGGGGGAGGCGGGTGTCCATCACGAGGGGTCCAGTATCGTGCAATGGTGGGGCTCGTTGCGGGCCGTGCTTATACAGAGCGCATGCAGAGGTGGTCAGCGCGGGAGAGGAGTGAGCGGTCGAGGCGCGCGCGTGCGCTGGACGGTTCATGGCTATCGCGCCTTTCGACTTCTGGGGGTGTAATAATAGCAGGGGATGCTTCTTCCTGCTTCCCTCAGCTCTTCTCGGCATGCATAGCCACGTTACCTTGTTCAAAAAAAAATGTTTTCTGGTCGTTTTCTGGTGTATCGACGGGACGATCGATCGGCTGGAGGAACGGAGGATGCATAATTAATCTAAGAGAAAATCCAAATAAATATAATTGACAAGCACACAATTTCAAATAAGTCCAAGTTTCATGAAATGTCATTGCATCAGCGATTTAATTTGTCTCAAAAATATCATCGTCGTTAATGTTCCGTTAGTACTTAGCATCTCTCCATTAAGTGCTATAGGATAAATAATACATTTATCGTGGCGGGATGATCGAAATTCTAACGGCAATTTCATCAACGGTGCAGATCCAGATCCGGATCTAGGTGCTATGGTGGTCCCTATATGGTGGCGTTTGGTGGTAGCGATGGTTCAGCTCCACGACTCGGTGAAGCTCAGCGGCCCGGCTAGGTGGAGGAGCGGGTCATCAACAGCGCTGTCCAGTCGTGGTGCGGGTTGTTGTGGTGTGTAGGTGGTGTACATAGTGCAAGTAGTTTCGATGTGCAGGTGGCATATGGTTGGATAGGACTCCAAGGTGAAAGTCTTGCTTGGCTTGACGGTGCTAGCGGCGGCGACATCCTCTGACGCTGTTCACTTTCTTGAAGGCGTTGCTATGGAGTCCTCATTCAACTCCACATCAAAAGATTTCTTCGGGTGAAAACCTTATATTCGTTTGGATTGGGCGATGTCGTCGTTCTGTTAGCGTGTCCTTAAAGCTTTGTTTAGGAGTTTTTTCCTTATTGGATGGTTGTTCTTTAGTTCAGTAAGTCAACGGCAGGATTTTTGCCGGTTTTATATAAATTAACCGTGCCGTTGTGAGATTTTTAGATCTGTTTTTTTTATAGACTCTCTTTTTTCTCTTCTATAGTGAAATGTGGGAGCACCTCGGAAAATAACATCCATCAGCAATGTCTCTTAAAAAATACCATCACCTCTCAAAAATCACAAGAGGAAATAGATACACAAGAGAAGACGAACAAAACTAGGAATTTCGAGGAGGTAGAGGTGAATGTATAGATGGCCAAAAGGCCCGAGGCCCGATGGCCCGGCCCATGGCATGGCATTTTGGCCCGGCCCAAGCACAGCACCGGGCTGTGCCTGGGCCACTCCACCGGCACGTTGGGCCAGCCCGACACAACCGGCCCGGCACGGCACGATGGGCCGGCAGCCAAGCCCGATACACAAAAAAAAATAGGGGAGTAAAAATAGACATATTATATGCCTTGGACGAAAGAAAAGGATGTAAAATAGACTTATTTTATCTATACATATGTCAGCCCAAAGAGGAGGGATGGAAAATATACTTATTTTAGCTATATATATGTCAGACCAAAGAGGAGGGACAAAAAAAATAGACTTATTTTAACTATACATATGTAGAAGCCCAAAGAGGAGGGACGGAAAATAGACTTATTTTAAAAAAACCCGATGGGCCACCCGTGCCTTCGGGCCGCCACGGTACGGCTCAACAGTTGGTGGGCCATGCCTGGGCGGGAGGTGCAGCCCATGGGCTGGCACGGCCCGGCACGAAGTGCCGATCGGGCCGTGCCGGTCCAATAGCTGGTGGGTCGTGCCTAGCCGTGCCTGAGCTGGGCCGTGCCGGGCGGGCCTTTTGGCCATCTATAGGTGAATGCAATGCAGCAATCAGAAAAAAGGAGCACAACTCTTACCCCTTCGAAATTCCTTCACGCCTTCCAACAAATTCAATCAACCACTCCCATTTACGAAGATGCAACTTTTCTACATAGGCCTGGTTTAGTTCTTATTTTTTTCTTCAAACTTTCAACTTTTTTATCACATGAAAACTTTCCTACACACAAACTTTTAACTTTTCTGTCAAATCGTTCTAATTTTAAACTTCTAATTTTAGCGTGAACTAAGGCACCCATAATAGAAGGCCAAATCGTCGTCGATAAGCTGCAGTCTTCAGTGGGGAAGAAGCCATAGTTGGCTGCCAGTATCGCCGCTCCCAGAGACAATCCAGAGCACCACACAGGCACTATCGAGGCGGCTTGTGCCCAGCGGCCGCGCGTTTTCCGCGAGCGACGCCACCCAGAGCCCCCGTCCCTCGAACCCAACCCGCCCGCCGAAGGAAGACACACAGGCGGATAGGGGCACAGCCCCGCGGCGGCGACGCTGGGGCATCGGGAGTTCAGTAGATCAACTGCCTGGATCAACGACGGCAGCCTGGGTGAAGGTCTTGCCGAAGGTTCACGTTGACAAAAAAAAAAACAAAAGGAAAAGGTTAACGGAAGGCAACTCACGTTGATTGAACGGCGATGGTAAAAATAACAAAAGGAGAAAATAGCTTATACCATGGTATTTTGTAGAGCTTACATCTCTATCTATATTATCATAAAATTTATTAGTGGTAATGGTTTTGTCACTTCCACCTATCTTATGTGCTACTATTTGCTTCCTGAACAGTATAATACATTGTTTATCGTATCATCTTTAACCAGAGTTTTAAAGTGATAATTTATTATTATATCACCGTTAATCAGAGCTGGAGAATGATGATTAATTTTAGTTAGCTGATAACCCATTTAATATAATTAGAGCCCGTTGTAACATATGGATATTTTGCTAGTATCAATGGTATTTCTTAGAATCGATGGTTTGTCGATAAACAATCTTAGAAATTTCCCCTTTTTCCATAAGAGCAGGTACAATAGCAGGCTATAAATCAGCTGCAAATATATTTTAAGTAGATAAATGAGGAGAGAGAAAGGTAGCGGGCTACAGATTTGTAGCCAGCTGTAGCACGGACTCCAAGACGCAGTGTGTGTTTGACAGATGGGACCAGATATTAATAGTGTAGTATGTAAGTATTGTATGAATGAGCTATTAGATTGATTATAAATGAATTGGAACTAGTAGTTGGCTATACTATTAAACTTGCTCTAATGGCAATGGAAAATTGGTGGACTCTTCAAAATACATTGGCTGATTGGCGGACGAAAGGCCTAGAGAACCACCACTCCAAAAGCTTTAATGAAGTGTGAACGTGTGATTGTTCAACCGAGATGCATTTGCAGTTTTTTTCTGGTCACCTGAAGTTGAGGATAATCACACCAGCGTGTAAAGATGTTCACAAAGAAGTTGTTCGTGTATCCCATATTCCCTTGTTTCCTTCATAGCCAAAACCAAAAGGCAATAAGGGAATCAGATCGATATAGAAGTATGGAAAATTTTGCTAAGACAAGTAGTAGTATATCATATAACTAAGGCAAATATCCAATACAAATGTATATGCCTACAATAAGCATGCAAAAGGCTGAAATTTCACTCAGATCAAATGCTAACTACTTCAAAATGCTTTAAACAATTACATGACGTTAAAAGACGTCTTTTCTCAACCATGGCGGAACAGATTAAAAGCCGGTTAGAAGTTACTCGGGGAGTGATACAGGTCTGGTCAGGGCACCCGCCACTCTACCAATCAGACTGCAGCGTTAAATCGGAATAAACTACTTTTCCAATGCCCACTAATTTACAGGCCATTTACACAAAAAAATAAAAAATAATAAACCAAACACGCCAGACAACAATCAACAAACACACTACACTAATGCTCGTGCTTCACTCGCCCTTTCAGTATTCCTGGAATAGGGGGTGAGCTTGGCAATCTAGCTGTACCATTAGTTGATCTTGCAGGTTGCTGCACTTGCTGCCTATAAATATTTGGCATGCTTGAGCTCTCACCTCCATTTGAAATTAGATCATGAATACCGTCGATTTGTTCTTCTCCACAAGAACTCATTGCTTTCAGTACAAATGAGTCATCATGCAACTCAAATGGTGTGCTGCAGTTTCAGAAATGTAAATATCAAGAACTTACGCTGATCTAAGGGAAATCTAAGAGGCTGCACCGATATCAAATTATTTCTTTCAACAAAAATAAAAGGCATATTTTGATATGTTTCATTCATTTGATAGTTCCTTTTAGAAAGAGTAAATTGCACTCATGGTGCAAGAACTTGTCAGGTGGGCGTGTTTTAGTACTAGAACTTGAAATTTGAGCATATTAGTCCATTAACTTGGCTATATGGTGCATATTTGTTCAAAGTGAAGGCCACATTACATATTTTTGCCACATCAGCAAGGGACGCTGTCGATTGCACATCAGGCACACAAATCGCTTATCTCCCATCCCAACAATTTTGAAACAAACTCCCGACTATTTTTCATGTTCTAATTGTTCCAGATGATATATAATGTCTGCTTCTTTCCATTTATTATGAATTCACGACTCCCAGGTTGATCCATTACTTTTGGTGAACTATGAATCTTGTGAAGCTAGATCATCTACGGCAAGATGTGGCAATGCATATCATTCCTGTTCACATGATCAAACTTTGGAAATATATAGGCAAAAATCGAACAGGCTAGCTAACTCAAAGATGTTACTGTGTGCTTCGTCAGTGGTGGTGGCGGGTGATGGTGATGCTAGTCTTCTCGAAGCAAGCGTTGGCCTTTTAGATCAAGCTAAATTTCTACTGTCTAGTTTCATTGTTCAATTGACAGTATAACTATGAATTGATTCATGCATCAATCAAGAGATTACAGTGCCCTCTATCAAAGCTAAATCTAGACCTATAGAGCTTTTGATTTGATATTGTTACCATTGAACTGGGGATATTTGCTAAAATGAACCTTCAGTCTATCTGTCGTTTGAAGGAAGAAGCAAAAACATGTTACATGAATGACATGTCTTGCTAACGTGGCCGAAAATTCCGTGTGGTATTCACCTTGACCAAAAGCGCACCGTCTAGTCAAGTTGGTGAGCCAGTTTGTTCAGTTTTCAAGTTCTTACAATAGAATGCACCCACCTAACAAATTCTTGTACCGTGAATGCAATTTACTCTTTTAGAAAAGTAAAATGAATTTCACACTTGGGCTCTCATCTTCCCAATTTAGGATGCCAATGTCTCCCTATTATTCAAGAATTAGTGATATGGCAAATGTCACTAGGATAATGAGGACCTGCGACCTGTAATTGGACTAAAACTAGATGACTTAGCTCAACCAATAAAAGCTAACAACACTTTTCAAAAGTCACATTATTTACACTTCCGCTTGTACCGTCCCATCACTAGAGGTTTGGAGACAAAAATCTCTACCATCCAAATTTGATATAGCAGCTGAGATTTTAGTTCTTTTTTACAGAGTGAATTATATTATATTTTAAGGGTTAAAAGACCACTGCCAGAATTTAAATGAGATAAGAGGATGCCCTTCCAGTGAGGACCTTCTGCAATCATATCATGAAAGAATAGAAAAATGGAAACAGAAAGAGAAAGGTGTGGCTTGCTAGATAAATTGTAAAGGTGTGACCAGATGGGAGAGAATAACAGGATTCTTGTTTTACCTATTAAAGTCAAAATGTACAAGTTGCATATCTTCTGATATTTCAACTTCCACAGTTGCATGAGGCCGTGTCTGCATGATTCATTCTTGTCATTTAGCCTGAAGTCATGTGCAGGAAACAGTGCCATGAAACAAGAGAATAGAAGACAAAGAATTTATGAACTATTCACCTGAACAAGGATAAATGGTAATGCAACTCCACCCGAGGGAATGTTTCCTGAACCATATAGCTGTTCATTTCTTTGTATCAACTTTTGCATACCTACAAACTTAACATGCCAAAAACAATGTTACCGAGTAAGGGCATTATGTGTATCACAGTATCTACCACTAAAGCCACACAATTTGAAGACTATGGTACACTGCTAGCTCAGTAGAACAGTTCATTTTATATATTGCATTGGACATGACTAAAGAAAAGCAGGTTGAGCTATATCATTACTTGGTCTTGCAGCTCCTGCAAATATGTATTTTTCTTCTCAATCCTACTTTTCAGTCCTACAAGTTCCGTCTGTAAAAGAGCATAAATAAATTAATAAATATGACTACCAAAAGTACATCAAATGTCGATAACCAGTGGGAAAAGAAGACGAAAAACCTGCAAATCTTCAATATCATTTATACTGGTTCGAGGCAACCCCTTCCACTGAATTTCCTTTTTATCTTTAGATATAATCTCCATAGCCATCAGAACATTCAGAGCATCATAAACCCTTCTCCGTATATTTTTCTCGTCATATTGTTGCTGCATTTAACACAAAGTGAGCATACAACTGACTTAAGAAATAATTGGTGATGCAGGCAAGTCATTTCTCAACTGCATTGGGATTATCCGGATCTGGTGGCAAAATGCTGTTATTGGGATCTGCAAATTCGGCAACAAGTTCATCTGCCACCTGATAAAGATAAGTCAGAAGGACTATGAGACTTGGACTTCACCAATAAGGGTAAACATTGAAAACTATCAACAAATGCATAGCCAAAATTATTACAACTTTTTGCCAGAGAGACAAAATATGATAGTTTTTAGCAATTTTGAGGAACTCCAAACATGAACATGAATAGATGCAAAGACAGATTGTTAGTTTAAATATAACAGTAGAAGAGGGTGATATGTATAGCGGATTTACAATGATCAATATGGTGGATGTCACATATTACAACACATCACCATAGTAAGATCTGAGCAAGCTGATCAAACAGCAGTGTTACATAAGACATGTGAGTGAGTTACCAATTTTATAGCCCCAAATCATGATGCGGAACATGGCAGTTTTATAGATAATGAATTGTTTGACAATACCACCAGGTGGACGGACAATATGAACATGTTGGCTTATTGGAGCAATAGCTAGTCCTGCCCTGTGCATATATTGCTATTAGGTTTTACATTGCATACATAGCCTAAGTCCTCTTGAAATAACTGATTGAATCTTCAAGGATAGAGTTAACAAGAAGACAACTATGCAAAGAAACAGGGAGCTGACACATGCAACATTTGTGATCTCAATTTGCTGCTTCAATCCATGTGATGTGACCACGTACATGATGCCATCAGATGCTCAGAACAAGATACATGAACTCGGTAGAAAGAGGAAAGCACTAACCTCGTTGTATGTTGTTCTCCCTTTACTTTCAACTTTCTCACAAACTGCAAAAGAACAAACAGTGTCATCATGAGTTTTTATAGCACATACTTGTGGTGCTTATAAATAAACTCAAATGGTGTACTAATAGGGAACAAATGGGATTTAACACACCTTTCATACTAAACTGGCGCAGCCCCCTGCCACCTTTGTCAGGACCAACTGCTCGTGCTCCTCTCTTCTTCTTCTTGCTGAATAATTTTATTCATAGCAAAAACCCTTATTGCAAATGCACAAAACTAGATAACAATGAAGGGATTTATTTTTTGAAAAGGAGCCTTAAGAGGTAGAGAACTTCTGCCAAGTCGTACTTCCAAATTCATAATGCAGAAAAACATGCACTGGCATCCAAACAGCAGTGTTCTACAGTCTGGAATCTATGTAGCAAAAGAGGTCACATGACTGATGTTTTACTGATCATCGTGAGTACAGTATACACGTGTAATAGACTACAGATGAGAACTACTCCGTATATATATAGAATTAACACTTTCAGCAAGGTAAACCTACAGAGCATAATCGTATAAGCATCCCCAGAAAATCTTACTTGCAACCACACATCAAAGTGATGGCAGGATACACTTCCCTAAGCATTTTGCAGCCCAAACACAGCTAATTACAACACTACGGACAATTTTAACCACCCGGTGCATCTCCGGAGCATTTTAAGTAGCGTACAGCTACAGAGAAAAACAAAAACCAACCAAATTCTCAAAATCTTAAAATCTTGTAATAACATTGGGAAAAAAACGCAACCCCGCGGCGAAAACTGGCAAACCAAACGCTGACCTCGTTGGAGCCTGTGAGGAAGGCGCATCGTCGCCGTGGATGTCAAGGTCGTTGAGGCGGAGGAAGGTATTCTCACTAATCGGAGTAGAGGCCGCCGCCGCCCCCGCCGCCATGCCTGCGGCTGCGGGGACATGCTGCTCGCTGCGGCTGGACGGGGAGCCCGCGCTCCCGCCGCTCGTCGAAGCGGATTGCGCTCCGCCCGAGGGCGGCGGCGTGGCCAGGGACGGCCGCGCGCCGGCCGGCTGCGGCGGGCGCTGGAACGTCGAGGCGGCGCGCCCGCCGTCGTCGTCCGGGCGGTGGGCGACGCCGGAGACCATGGGTGGCCGAGATCGCGCGAATCGGGGACCAGAATTGGGGAGGAGTTGGAGCGCGGAAACCCTAAAACGACAAAGAGGGGGCAAATTGGAGGGAGAGAAAGAAATGAGAAATCGACGAGAGGGCGGGCAGAGACGCGGAGACGAGCTTCTTTTCTCCTCTTTGCGTTTTTGTTTCTTTCTTTTTATTTTTATTTTTTTTTCTTATGAAATTTGGCGGTTTCGGCTCCGTGACGCGCCGGCTGCCGGCGCCTGAAATGAGCCCAAAGCCTAGTGCGGTGCCAGGTGGCCTCATCGTCTGAACCCAAAGCCTAGTAGGAATGAGAACTTGGGAAGCGCGAGCATTTCCGACGAAATCAGCCTCTCCAACCATTCACATAGCTAATTCCTCTCCTGATTTGGCTATTTGGTAAGCCAGACTCGCAGTTTTTTCATCTACACTTTTCATTTGGGTCTATAACAGTGAGACCTATGTATCAATCCATCACTTTTTTTTTTCGGAAATCCATCACTTTATTTCTCTCCTTCTCCTTCCTCCCACGTCCCAACCACTACTCCGTACCTCCATCCTCAATGCAATATCCTCCCAAGTGCCAACCACTAATCTATTCCTCCATCCTCAATCCTCCACCCTCGGTAGTAGTGGTGGGAGGGCGAGGACGACGGCAACATTAAGCAAGCCGCTACACTTGCGTAGAGTGGGTAGGCGATGGAGGAAGCTAGAGTTGAGGATGAAGATGTGTAAGAGGGCAGGGAGATGTATAGATAAATGGCCAATAAATTCAAAATCAATATTTGTTTAGTAGTAAAAAGTAGGCCACAATGGTGATAAAGCTATTAGCGCATGATTTTATCCATTAAAGCTCAAATCCTACTGCTGATTTGCATGTATTCCTAGAGAAGTTGTAAAGCCTATATACTTCCATTATCTTAAAAATAATAATAATAATAATAATAATAATAATAATAATAATAATAATAATAATAATAAACAACGTTATTAATAAGTCATACTACACGTTGAATTCAGGCCCAAAGTTCCAGTTGAACCCAATACAGGCCCAGTACACATGGATAACACCACGTGCGTTTAGGTCTTTTAAAATACACCGAATTGCCGAATAAAAAAAGCGTTTTTTCGGCCCAAGTGGCACAGCGTTAGGCACGTCAGCCCAAAACTGACCTCACCGCCGCACGCGGCAGCCCACCAACTTAGGTCGTTCTTATCCAACCCACCAGCTCATCGCAAGCCAGTACTAGTAGTTCTAGAACGTTCGAGAAACTGAACCATCGCGCGTCGCTGCAGCGGCTCGCCGGTTTCCGAGACGTGGGCCCACACCCACTTGGGCCCTTGATGGGCCCTACTTGGTCCAAAGCGAGCGCGGCTTCCGCCACTGGATTCCAGCGAAGGACACGTACACCGCCTCCCGCACGTAGGGCCCATTTTTGTTCGAGAAAAGTGAAGAAAAAAGAAGGGAAGGGCCAGGGCCCACGACCATCTCGGCACACGTCGCCTTCCACCTTATCGTCACAGCGATCGTCACACGGCACACGATAATTTTCGTCGCACAAATCGTCGCCTCGTACGTGTGGTTCCCTTAAAAAGGGAAAACGTCGTACGCGAGGACTGAAGAAAAGGGGAACCAAAGCCGTTGCAATTACCATCCTCCTCTGACTGGAAATATCAACGACCCCTTTCTAAAAAAAAAAAACAACTAATGCCAACATTTACTTGATTGATCACCGTGTTTTACCATAGTTTTTGCTCTGAAGCTACGTGGCAAGAAAGGACAGTACTGTATCTCTGTCACGTATGAGCCGTGGCCGCATAGAAACTCGAACATTGTGACAAGGTAGTACTGTACAAACTTGAGTTGTGGAGTACCAAACAGTATCTGGTCGGTGACATCCAACCAAACAGCTGTTGATCCTATCTAAGGCAAGTAGTACTGTACTAGTACTAAAGTCCAGTACACTGGCTACGTAGGAGTACACAGCAGCAAAGGCACCAGCAAAATCTACGCGATGACGCCACGTGACATGACATCGCAGGTGACCGTAGCCAAAGCCAAAGCACCAGCCGCGGCAGGCAGGCTGGCTTTGCTGGTGGGAAATTACCGGCCACTGAAAGGAAACTTGCGCCCGACGCGTACACGGATCCGCACGGCGGGCGGGCGAGCGGACTGACAGGGTGGCCCCACCCACCCCACCGCGGCGTCTACGGTTTCTTTCTCTTTCTCTCTCTTTTTTTTTCTTCTTCGTCTCCGTCGCCTAGTCGGCTTCGCCTCCGCTTCCTCGTCTCGTCTCCCTCCCCCTATTTATCCCCGCCCACCCAGCGCCGCCATTTTATTCGCTTCGTCAGAACTCAAAATCTCAAATTCCAGACTTCCAGAGGCGAGCACAGGAGGAGGTTGGAAAAATCCATCCATGGGGGATGAGAAGGCTGCTCCGAAGGCGGGCGCCACCGCCGACCCGGTGGTGCTGAGGATGGAGTTGCATTGCGCCGGCTGCGCGCAGAAGGTCAAGAAGTCCATCAAGCACTTGGCCGGTACGCATCTCGGTCTCGATTATTCGCCGCTGCCGCCTCTCGTTTCTTTCTCTTTTTTCTTTTTGAGCCTTTTTTGGGGGGTTCGATTTGGTGTCTGGGTGTCTGAATTTTTGGGTTGTCTCTGGGATCGCAGGGGTGGAGTCGGTGGCGGCGGACGTGGCGACGAACACGGTCGTCGTGGCGGGGACGGCCGAAGCGGCCGCGCTCAAGGCGAGGATCGAGGCGAAGACCAAGAAGCCCGTCGAGGTTGTCTCCGCCGGCGGCGGTGGCGCCGCCGCCAAGAAACCCGCCGCCGAGCCCAAGGCCGTCAAGGACGATGGCGGCGAGAAGAAGGACGCCCAGGCGAAAGAGGAGAAGGGGAAGAAGCAACCGCCAGAGGAGAAGAAACCCAAAGAGGTCGGTACACAAGAGGCAACCCTACCAACGCCATACGCATACGCTTCTCTGCTCCTCCCAACTACTCGTTTGACCTGAGAACTCAAAATGTCTCTCTGCTTTGTTGTTACAGGAAACGGTGCTGCTCAGGATTCGCCTCCACTGCGATGGCTGCGCCGACCGCATCAGGCGACGCATCTACAAGATCAAAGGTGAGGATTTTATTTTTTTAATTAATCTTTCCTCTGTCAGTTTTTGTACTACTCTCGTTCTGCTGTTTGTTTTGTTGCTTTGGCTCCAAAACTGACGCCTTCTGGCTTTTGCTATGTGTCAGGGGTGAAGGAAGTGGTAATGGACGGCAATGCCAAGGATGAGGTGAAGGTGTCGGGCACAATGGACGTGCCGGCCATGCTGACCTATCTCACCGAGAAGCTCAACCGCGCCGTGGAGGCCGTGGCGCCCGGCAGCAAGAAAGACGAGAAGAAGAAGGACAAGGGCGGTGACGCCGACGGCGGCGAGAAGAAGAAAGACGCCGCCGGCGGCGACAAGAAGGACAAAGGCAAGAGCATCGAGGTCGCCGGCCCGTCCACCGCCGCCGCCGCGGCGTCCATGGCGCCGGCGCCGGCCGAGGCGAGCACGTACCACGTCTCGCCGTACGGCCACGGCTACTTCGCGTACCCGCAGCAGCAGGGACCTCCCCCCAGCTACTACCAGTACTACGGCGGCGGCAATGGCGACGGCGTGGGCTACGCCAACCCCAATGCCGGCGGCGCCGGCGGCTACTACCACCCCCACCCCAACGACGTCCCTACCTACCAGCCGCCGCCGTCGTACCCGCCGTACCCCTACCAGCTCGACATGTCGCCGGCGCCGCAGCTGTTCAGCGACGAGAACCCCAACGCCTGCTCGGTGATGTGATCGCCATGTCTCCGGCGACAGAGCTCAGAGGCCAATCTGACGACATGTACATACCGAGGACTTTAGACTTAGAAGATCAGAGGCATCCACCAAACGTGTTGTTATGCTTTCGATCAATTTTTGTCCAAACTTACCCCTTCTGTTGTAGCGTCATTTTTTTTAGATCAATTCTTGACTGGTTAAGCGAAATTTGATTTTAACTAGAGTATTAGCGGATGAAATGGACTGATGGAGTGATGATCTTTTGGTCGCAAAATGCGTGCCTAGTCAGAGATGTTGGTTGAATCGTGGACTAGTTCTGTCTTGGTCGCGTTGCTTTTCATCAAAGACGTGGTGTTTAACCAGGCGATTGTAAATTAAAATATATGATTAAATCTTCGTTGGTCTTGTGCTGTTCGTGAGGGGCAAAGAAAAGTTTCCTCAAACGCGGAGTAGTTTAATTTTCTTTCAAACGATTCGTGGCGGCAAAATTGATCTCGTTCTTCCCCGTCCGACGTGGCGCCGACGAGGACGGATAGCTACGTCGGTGATTCGGATTCGGATATTCTCCCAGCTCTGTGTGTAAGAAGTCTTCTCCGCGATATTATTTGATGTTCTCTGTGTGCTACCTGGTTGCATTGCCGTTGCGATTAATCTTCAAATTTCAGATTATTGCGGCGATTAATAGTTTTATAATTGAAGACACACATCTTTTTCGATGTGAAGCTTTGGCCATGCGTGTGCAGGCCGTCGTTACCATCATTCATATCCCTTTTGACATTTGAGACAGTAATAAAGGGTCGGTAAATCCAAAAACCTTTTCGTCTTTACTACGTTAACTCTGATTCGTAGACCATTTCAGAACAACTGCATTTTCTGATCTACCTGCAACTTGTGAAATCCAGAACTATCACCTCGGCAATATTTGTATACAGCAATTCTAGCTCTGTGATCTACACATGTTCTGTGCAATTTTCACATGGGAATAAGAAAAAAAATAACAAAAATTTCAGCGTTCCAGACAGGGAGTCAACAATGTTCATCAAGGTCTTCGTTATCCGGAATGAAATGCCCACGTCCTTTTCGCCCACATTTTGCAGGTTTGGCGTGCCACACGGTCACCTACCATTGAAGCAATCCAAATCACTAACACGCCCATGTTTGAAGAACGCGGCAATTGATAAGAGAATAAAGAAAGCGATTAGACTGCACTAGCTTTGGAATATGACCGTATTAAGCATATTTAGACTACGAACAATTAGTCCCGGGATTGGACTACAGGGTCAGAGGGGTATGGTCTCTCTCCATGGGGACACGTGTCCTGTTCATGATTGAAACCTTCCTGGTGAATTATCCTTAAATATCATTTTCTTCCACTGTCTAATCTCACATGGAAATCCTAATAATCATTTTGTTCTTATATATCCGAAGGTTATCCATTCCGATGGCCTCTGCTCTTAATTAATTTGTGCAGTTCTTTTAATCCCTGATGCTGTTGCATCGTTGATCCGTTGCCAAATGGAGGAAACAAAACACACAGCAAAACTATTTTTTTTCATGCTCTGTTTTTGTCTTCATACGTGTGCCTGACTAAGAATATTCTCCCAAATGGCAATTAAATATGGCGTTGATTAACTCAGGCAACATGTCAGAAAAACACGGACTTCTGAAAGCTGAAACTTGGAAAATGTTGGACTGCAATTCAATTTCTGGAAGTAGTGGATAACCTAATCCTGTACGAACAACTGCTGGATATGAATCTCTTGTCGGTGTGCTGATTTTCCATTAGTTAATTGAATAATTGAGTCGGTGTTTTCTTTAATTATGGTTTGGGGCATGCCGCATTGCCGCCCTGATTACGCAAATTGTTTTTATATTTTTTGTCTCGTGGGTTTACGAATCGGAAGAATTGGGTTGTGTTTAGATCTAAAGTTTGAATCCAAACTTCAGTCCTTTTCCATCACATCAACCTGTCACACACACACAACTTTTCAGTGACATCATCTCTAATTTCAACCAAAATATAAACTTTGGATCCAACTAAACACAGCCTTGGTCTGACCGGATTGCAATGCCGGTCGTTGTGCACTAGACTTATTTTTTTTTAATTTTATCTACATTCATGTTACATTATTCGATAATATCATAATATGGCAGCAATATGGTGCTTTTATATTTTAGGGAAATGTTAAAAATAATATACTCCCTCATTTCCTAAATATTTGACGCCGTTGACTTTTTTAAACATGTTTGACCGTTCGTTTTATCAAAAAACTTTTGTAAAATGTGTAAAACTATATGTATACATAAAAGTATATTTAACAATAAATTAAATGATAGGAAAAGAATTAATAATTACTTAAATTTTTTAAATAAGACGAACGGTCAGATATTTTTAAAAAAGTCAACGGCGTCAAACATTTTGGGATGGAGGGAGTATGTATCACTGGCTGTGAGGATAACATCGCCATGTCATTGGGTCGTTCTGTTCTCTGTTCCAGCCTCATTGGATGAGAAACACATTAATATTCAAACAATATCATGAATACTGTTGGTTTGGTCAGCTTGTCCTAGTCGGATCTTTGGACAAATTGACCTGAATCGAGCTGGCAACCGTGCTAATTTTCAAGGAAATCAAAATTTTGAAAGAAACAACCAACCGACCGGTCACCGGTGATCTTATATTCTTATTTGAATAGTACTTGCAGACCGTCATAAATCACAACACTTTGGTTGTGTTTAGTTCGTGTGCCAAATTTTTTTAGTATACGGATATACATTTAAAGTATTAAATGTAGACTAATAACAAAACAAATTACAGCTTTTGCCTGTAAACTGCGAGACGAATTTATTAAGTCTAATTAATCTGTTATTAGTAAATGTTTACTGTAGCATCACATTGTCAAATCATGGTGTAATTAGTCTCAAAAGATTTGTCTCGCAATTTACAGTCGGACTGTGCAATTGTTCTTTTTTCGTCCATATTTGATGCTCTGTATATGTGTCAAAACATTTGAAGTTTGAAAAAAAAAAGTTGGAATCTAAAAGACGGCCAATGTCTTGTAAATTTAACTGTCTGCTACGTTTGCGCAATGCAGTGAAGTTAAGTATAGTTCAATGCTCCCATGTTTTTTTTTTTTTTTTTTTTTTGAGAAACTTTCATGGAAATGTCACTGCAACTGAATTCAGGTTCTGTCTGAATTGGATTGCAACTAGACATGATCCATGTAAACTCCCGCCTAAATTGAAAGGCAATCTTTGCACTGCCCTTTAAAACCTTTTTCTTCTTTAGCTCAAATTTCCTTTTGACTTTCTTCTTTCTTCTTTATGTTTCCATTTTTTATTTACCCGCAATAAAAAGAACAGGGGATCACTTTTCACTAGGGAATCTATCAAAAAACAAGAAGGAAAGAAACAAAGACAGTTTCAGACTTTGGTAAGGGCAGTGGGCCTTGCTCATTTCACCCTTTAATCACATGTTTGGGCCTTCTTTAATCCCAGATTTGGCACTCCAAACTTGTCCACTTTCTGACAGCCATTTCCCTGATGGCAGGTAGCTTCTGTGTGTGCCACATACCTGCATATGCTGGATGAGTGGCTGCCAACCATGATCCTGGACCATTTCTTCCATTCTTTCACTCATCCTGGCAGCTTCAGGTCTGGTGAGACCGTGAGAGTGGCCAGATCACAAACTTTTGGCTCAAGTGACCAACTGAATCTGAATGTGGGTGGCCTGCAGGTAAGTGTCAGTACTAACTTGCAAGGCCAACAATCAACTGGTTACTGATCTGATCTAGTATTGCAGCACATTATTTTCCTGCTACCAACTGCAAGATCGTCATCATTCTTAGGCCTGTTTAGATTCCAACATTTTTCTTCAAACTTTCAACTTTTCCGTCGTATCGAACTTTGTTACACACACAAACTTTCAATTTTTCCGTCACATCATTCCAATTTCTTTAAATTTCCAATTTTAGCGTGGAACTAAACACAGACTTATGCCAGCTGTATGGCTTCGTTTGTTAATTGTTATTATTGTTAACTTTGCTGATTACAAAAGAGTCAATTCATGCAGTTCTTTCTTTGTTTTATGGGGGCTACTTGTATGAAATTATTGAAATCTGTAATCAAATTGCACACAGTCAGAAACCGGTGGTTAGAGGCCTTGGTCCTGAAGTCTCAACTGTACTTCCTTGAATTCGCTAGATAAATCACAGAAGATGATTCGACGCATTAACTAACACCATTGAGTTCAGCATCATGCATCACAACGAAGAGATCAAAGTTTCAATTAGTACCACACAATGATCTTGACTAACAATAAGCTCCAAACCAGCGTACAGAGTTACAGACAGTTTTATTTGGCGTGATCTAGACTTTGCAAGCAACAATTTGGGCGATAGAGATAAGAAGGGAAAAAAACAGAGGCACCCGTACTAACACAAAATGTCAGCTGATCATGACGTACTGTTTACCTTCCTATGATCTGAAGAAACCTCACAATAGTGTTAACTGTTTACTGCGATACCTCAACCATGCAATATATAATTTTTCTTTTCTAGATTTCCACTATGCTTGTATTCCAATTAAAAATACTACTATCTTCTAAGATTGACCTTAGTTTTGGATTCAGAACCACCAAAATCCAGGATTGAATAAAATACCACAAATAAAATATATCCCTAGCTTGACCTTACTTTTTTATTGTCCCTTCTTCTACCATGATGAAAGGGTTGAAAGCCAAACAAAAAAGAAGTCCTTTAAGCTAAAGTTAAAGAACAAAGTGGATCGCATTGCATGGCCCCCCTTGACACATCACTTTCGTTCCTCTATTTCTTCAGACATATCATCACTTGTATCAGGTTTGCTGCATACATGCAGGAGAGGATTTGGTGGAGAAAGTGAAAGTGGAAGAAAAACATTCTTGCACGAGCAGAGCACACTACTGCCTGATGAGTGTTCTTTGCGATCCAACTTTGTAGAATTGTAGGTCACCACAGACGCTTTACGCACATGTGTTGTTGCACGCGATGTCGCATGCTTTGATCCAGACATGAGGAGACGAAATGCGTCCATCCAAATTTCTGGCAAAAGTGTCGAGGGAAGCATCGAAGTTTCACCATAGTTTACTTGAAGTTTCGCAAATTAACTAGCTAGACCTTGCACTTTACAGTGCTGAAAAAGTTGTAAAACTCGCAGCGGCTTCACAATTCAGTTAGGAAAAATGAAACCGGATATATAGGGGCTGTTCAGATTGATACTATTTTCAAACATTCTATTTTTTTTTGTTAAAGTTGCAAAAAAATGTCTACATCTAGTTTGTTTTCAAATTTGATAAATACATATGAATTCCAGCCAAAATTTTGACAATATTGACATATTCGGTATTGCCAAAAATTAGTAAGATTTATTTGGCTACAATCTAAACAGATCTTATTTTTTGGCCCATGTTATCAAACCGGCCCATTCCATTTCCGAAGTAGTATCACGTCATTTCTCTCTTAATATACAACAATTGTGCTTTTTCTGCAGCTCCGTCACCTCCCTGTCACTGAAGTTCCAAAGTAGGAGGCTAGGTGCAGATAACTTGTGTCTTGCAAGTGTCATAGATATTGTCATATATTCAAACAAAATAATTTTCAGTTCACATTTTCTCAGTGCTGCAAAAAATGTAAAACTCGCAGCGGCTTCACAATTCAGTTAGGAAAAATGAAACAGAATATATAGAGGCTGTTCAGATTGATGCCATTTTCAAACATACCATTTTTTTAAAAGTTGTAAAAAAATATCTACATCTAATTTGTTGCCAAATTTAATAAATACATATGAATTCCAGTCAAAATTTTGATAATATCGACATCTTCGGTATTGCCAAAATTTGGTAAGGTTTATTTGCTACGATCTGAACAGACCTTATTTTTTGGCCTATGTTATCAAACCGGCCCATTCCATTTCCGAAATAGTATCACGTCATTTCTCTCTTAATATACAACAATTGTGCTTTGTCTGCAGCTCCGTCACTGAAGTTCCAAAGTAGGAGCAGAGAACTTGTGTCTTGCAAGTGTCATAGATATTGTCATATACTCGAACAAAATAATTTTCAGTTCACATTTTTTTGTGGCTGAAATCTCAACGGATGAATTCCCAGAAATTCGGACAATAACACACCATTGTCCCCTGCAAACTTCTAAGCAAAGCTCTATGACTTGACAGTTCGTGAAACTCGTCCTAAAATCCAAAACCGGCCGGAAATTCCAAAGGGGGATTTGACAGGAGTGATAGGCCTACATGAGCCCAAATGCAAAAAGGCCCCACAAATAAATTCAGCCTAAGCCCACTAAAATTCTGTGGATAAAATCGCATCTCCGCCGTGTGACACTGACACCCTGACCCACCAGTGGGGCCCACTAGCCAGCGGCAACGACCTCCTCCCCCCTCTTCGGCTTCACCGACCAAACCAACACAATCGCGCGGATCAACAGACTCGAGTAGGGGAGAGAGAGAGAGAGAGAGAGAGAGAGAGAGAGAGAGAGAGAGAGAAGGCGACGCGGCAATCGATCTGCCCGCCTCACCTCCGGCCACCGACCACCGCCGCCTCCGCGTCCCTCTGCCTCACCTCGACGCCGGCTAGCATCGCCGGCGATGGGTTGCTCCTCCTCCGTGCCAGGTTCTCTCTCTCACACGTTTCCATCCCCCTTTTTTAGATTAGATTTCCTCGTTGGCTATGTTTCGGCTGCGGATATTGTTGGTACCGAGTGTTAGGTAAGCAGGTGTTGCCGTGGGGGTTTTCAAATTGGGTTCGATTCGTGGCTTGCTGCTTTGGAAAATGGGAGGGAGGGACCAGCTTTTTTATGCTGAAAGCTGATTGGGGATAAATGTTTTCGGTCACAGCGTTGATCGGGGCGAAAATTCGCGCAATCTGGACGGTTTTGAACTGTGATTTAGTGAATTTAAGTCAATTTGTGGGTTAATTGGAGGTTAGAGCAGGGTGTCTGCACGATCTCTATGAATGGGAGGATCGTGTGTGGATGTATGTGAGTGGGGGCTGGGGAAAGTTTGTAGCTGGAGTAGAAGAATTAGCCATTTTCCGCCATTTGTTAACACATAGCACTGTTTTGTCATCCAGCTCGAAGCACTGGAGGGTTGAACAATATTAGCAACGATAACTCCGCTACTGATTCAAAGGACTTGCGTGCTAAGGTTTACTGCACATTTTGCCCTTTATTACTACAATAATGCCTCTATATCATGTTACTAGCAGCTTTCTTTAACGTGTCCATCCTTTTGATGTTGTAGTTGGTATTGCTTGGTGACTCTGGTGTAGGGAAAAGTTGCATTGTTCTTCGCTTTGTTCGTGGTCAGTTTGATCCCACTTCCAAGGTGATTACTGTTTTGAGTCTCTTAGTTTCAGTTGATAATGTTATTCTTCACCTTAGATGCATGATTCTTACTTTCAGAAGTTCGATTGTTTTAAACTTATTTCCTCAAATAATTTCAGGTAACTGTCGGTGCATCATTTTTATCACAAACATTGGCTTTGGAGGACTCAACAATAGTGAAATTTGAAATATGGGATACCGCTGGACAAGAGAGGTACACATACAGCACTATGGTTTTAGCTTCTTCCAATCTTGGGATAATGGCATGCTGTTGGTGCATTAGAAGCATTGGTTTTGTGAGAAAGTTCTAGTAGTATGTGTTACTGATTTTTACAATTGATCCATCTTACGTGCCACACATGCATATGGTTTTTCTCAATCAAGAACTCATTGGTACCAGCCAATTTTAGGTATGCTGCCTTGGCACCTCTTTACTACAGAGGAGCTGCTGCTGCAGTTGTTGTCTACGACATAACTAGTCCAGAATCATTTAGCAAAGCACAATACTGGGTGAAGGTATGCTATCGCCAAATTATCTGCTTTTCTGATGTCTGGTTGATTGATTACTCTTTCTATCTTTTACTATGAGTTTGTATTTTTTGCCCGAAACTGTTCTAGTAAAATTTTATATCATACTGTAAGATTGCTGCTAAAATATTATAAATGTGTTGAAGCTTATGCTCAAAGATTACCCTGACTAGCGTGAGAAGTGTATATAATATGAACACTTGCATTTAATCTTAAAATGCACCTTCTAGATTTATTTCATCAATATCAATTGATTCAGTGAGATTGTACCATGTCGACTATTGTGAAGTATGTTATGTTTCCACTTCTTTTTTCAGGTATGAAGCACTTTCAGATTGTTTTTTCTTATATTGCAGGAACTTCAAAAACATGGTAGTCCTGATATTATCATGGTTTTGGTTGGTAATAAAGCTGATCTACATGAAAATCGACATGTATCTTCTCAGGTCAGATCTTGTGTGAAGTTGTAGTAAACATAGTATCACAATATGCTGCAAAATTGTTTTGACGATATGGTGCACATTCTGAAGGAAGCACAAGAGTATGCAGAGAAGAATAATATGGTTTTCATCGAGACATCAGCAAAGACAGCTGATAATATAAACCAAGTATTTGAGGTATGCCCCCTAGCATATGAAGCTATTTGCTTTCACGATGTCCAAGAAGCAGGATAGCTAACAAGAGAACATGCTATTTTATTTCAAATTAATCAAGCTGAACAAAAACACCAAAGCTTCAAATTCATGGAAATCCTAACTGTTTCACCCACCCCCTTACGTGTAAGCATTGAATGGACAGCTACTGCGTTAGGCCATCAATGGTCATCATCATACTAACTCGTTATGGTATGATATTTTTCCATTAACAGGTCACCGTTTTTGCATTATTAATTAAAAACAGAAAGATTCCTGAGTTAGTTAGAAGAGGTTTGGGGTATGGAAGAACAGCTCTAACCTCATATTAAACTCTCACTAAGTCACTAGCACATATATGTGTGGATAAACAATCTCAGCACAAGAATCAGTGATTTTCTCTGATCTCGCCTAAGGATCACCACAGATAGGGACAGCCTAATGTGGGCATTTTAACAACAAAGTTCAACTCTACACAGCCTACGCCCTACGGATAAACACTTCGTTGCATTTTCATCAGTCAGGTTCCTGGACATTGTCCACATGCACTGTCACCTTCATGTTCTTTTCCTATTGATGTTTTTATCCTCTTATGTTTAAATCTTTTGCTACACTACATAGCTGGGAAAAGAAACTTTGTGAACGTCGTCCTCATAACTTGATCATGTTCCTTGTACAGGAAATTGCGAAGAGGTTGCCCAGGCCAACGGCGTCTTGATAATTAGCTTCGGTGTTTGTTGAAGTGGAACACATACAAGCTGGTAATGTGCATGTAACATGTCTGTCAGGGCAAAAACTGCTGTATGGTCGATTGTTTGGAAAACAAAGGATACTGTACAGTTTATCCCATTGTGTTCAATCGTATCGTATTGTATATGTTAATAGTGCCGTCGTGTAACATCTTAGTTTACTAAAACAATCTAATATCGGTACTAAAAAAAGTTGCTTAGTTGCTGTGCCTGTGTACACCCACCACACCGAAGTTTCATCTAAACAAGTACTCCGTGTACAATTGCAGATGGCTAACCTCAAACAGACAGAAACTTTTGCCTTTTACGCTCTACAATTTGTGCAGTATAATGAATTAATGCCACGATCGCATACGAACACGGGACACTTTCCTTACAATCGAAGGCAGCAAAAGATGCGAAACTTCTCTTCCGAGCCGAACACATGCTCCTATTCCTGCACGAGCAGGCACAAGTGAACAACAACTACCTGATACACTGACATGTCGGGCCCACACTCTCTCAACTCGGCACGGGGCCCCCTCCATCTTCCGGGACCCACCTCATCCGAACTCTATGTCGCGTGGGCCACGGGCCTCGTGGGACCCACATGTCATGGACCTCCGGGGACTCCCGAACCGAGCCCAACCCGTAGGACGGTAGGAGGTCGAATCCCAAACCCCTTCGGCAAGAAAGGAGCTATTTAAGGTAGACTAATCCCCTCGTCTTCCCCCACAATCACTTCTCCCCCCGGAATATCTCCGCCAAGAGAAGAGAAGAGACACCCAACAACCCAAAACCTAGCGCCTCTGCGCTCGAGGCCCCCCCGAATCCGCGAATCCGCCGACTCCCATGGCGAGCCAGGGAGAGCCCTCCTCCTCCTCCGATCCGTAAGTTTCCCCCCTTCCTGATCTAGCCTTTTCGATCTGGTAGATTATCGAATTTTTGCGATTTTTTTGCGATTTTTTTGGGTGATTTTAATGTTCGTGGGGTGGTGGTGGTGTTGTGAGCAGGAAGGGGAAGAAGGATTTCTCGACGGCGATCCTCGAGAGGAAGAAGTCGCCGAACCGGCTGGTGGTCGACGAGGCCACCAACGATGATAACTCCGTCATCGGGATGCACCCCGACACCATGGAGAAGCTCCAGCTTTTCCGCGGCGACACTGTGCTGCTCAAGGTTTGGGGATCCTTGCCTCTGTAATTCTTCTGTTAAGCTTCAATTGCGAGGGTTTGAAGGCCTAATCTGTGGTGCTTGTCCTGGATAGTAGGAACTGATGGTCTGAATTGTGAATATGTATGAAAAAAGAACTTAGCTTTCTTGTCTCTAAGCTTAGGTTTGTGTGTCTACTGTTTTGTAGAGGATAAATTATTAGTGAGGTTGAATGTTTGCTACTTTCTAGTTTTTGCCCCTGATGTTAGCCTTGGTGTAGATTATTTATTCAGATTACATATGGTTAGATTATATGTATTCATGACTCATGACTCTTTAGCTTCCTTAGTACTAGGTTGTTACAGTAATTATGCTGTGATAAGTGATCCTCTAATTTGATTGGGTACAGCTTACAATCTGTAATTATGTCAAGATTATTGCAGTTAACTTCTAAACTGTGATGGCTATTCACTAGGTAGCTTCACAACAGTACTTATTTAGTTTTATAATGCCATGAGGTCGGGAACTTGGGATTCTGTTTTGCATTGTATGATAATTCTTGTGTCATCAAGGCATATTTTATTATTTGCTGCTGACATTTTGGCTCACTGCATCACAGGGTAAGAAGAGAAAAGACACCATCTGCATTGTTCTTGCTGATGACACCTGCGAGGAGCCGAAGATCAGAATGAACAAGGTTGTCAGGAAGAACCTGAGAGTACGACTTGGTGATGTCGTGTCTGTTCATCAATGCCCAGATGTCAAATACGGCAAGCGTGTGCACATACTTCCAATTGATGATACTGTTGAGGGCATCACCGGAAACTTGTTTGATGCCTTCCTGAAACGTAAGATTTCTTTATCACTGAAGTATTTTGATTTTTCTCTTATAGAAGGTTCTAGATAGAGAATTTTAGAGCTTTGCTGCCATGTTCTAAAACAGTATTAGCCATTTCATTTGAACTTGCTTGTTTGATACTTAATTATGTCGAGGAAAGTTTTTGTGGCTCCTAATTTCCATGAACTGTAGTACCTATATTACGATGTACATTATAACATTAACTACATTGTTGCTAATATTATGGCAAATATTCAACCTTGATATGTTTAAACGTGCTCTTGCAACCTCTAGTGTCGCCTTCTTACATCCTGCTGATACTGTTTTTATTTGTAACTTTTCAGCGTACTTCCTTGAAGCATACCGTCCTTTGAGGAAAGGAGACCTTTTCCTTGTTAGGGGTGGGATGAGAAGTGTTGAATTCAAAGTTATAGAGACTGACCCTGCAGAGTACTGCATTGTTGCACCTGATACGGAGATATTCTGTGATGGTGAGCCTATTAAGAGGGAGGATGAGGAAAGACTTGATGAAGTTGGTTACGATGATGTTGGTGGAGTTAGGAAGCAGATGGCCCAAATCAGAGAACTTGTTGAGCTCCCATTGCGCCATCCCCAACTTTTCAAGTCTATTGGTGTGAAGCCTCCAAAGGGCATACTGCTTTATGGACCCCCTGGCTCTGGAAAGACCCTCATTGCTAGAGCTGTTGCTAATGAAACAGGTGCTTTCTTCTTTCTGATTAATGGCCCGGAGATTATGTCAAAGCTAGCAGGAGAAAGTGAGAGTAATCTCAGGAAGGCATTTGAAGAAGCTGAGAAGAATGCACCATCAATCATTTTCATCGATGAGATAGACTCCATAGCACCAAAGAGAGAGAAGACCCATGGAGAAGTTGAGAGGCGCATCGTTTCACAGCTGTTGACTCTTATGGATGGGCTCAAAGCTCGTTCCCATGTCATTGTCATGGGTGCTACAAACCGGCCAAACAGTATTGATCCTGCTCTCAGAAGGTTTGGTAGGTTCGATCGGGAGATTGACATTGGTGTTCCTGATGAAGTTGGGCGGCTTGAAGTTCTTCGGATTCACACCAAAAACATGAAGCTGGCTGAAGATGTGAGTTATCACCACTACAGTCTAGATGCAAAATATTCTTTATTGGTTGCATTTTTTTTTAATAGTTATTACATTGTTGTCGCAGGTTGACCTGGAACACATTGCCAAAGACACTCATGGGTATGTGGGTGCTGATCTTGCTGCTCTTTGCACTGAGGCTGCTCTCCAATGCATCCGTGAGAAGATGGATATTATAGATCTTGAGGATGAGACCATAGATGCTGAGATACTTAACTCGATGGCTGTTACAAATGATCACTTCAAGACTGCACTAGGGACAAGCAACCCGTCTGCTCTCCGTGAAACTGTGAGTATTTTTAGTATGATCTATTTGCACATTACCAGGATCTATTCCCATTTGTTTCCGAGGCTTACATCTAGCTTTCCTTTTAAATTCAGGTTGTTGAAGTTCCAAATGTCTCTTGGGAGGATATTGGTGGACTGGAGAATGTCAAACGGGAGCTGCAGGAGGTACTTATTGCTCTTTTCTTTCCTCACTTATGAGTTCTTATTTGTGGTTAACATACTTTAAAACCTTGCAGACTGTCCAATATCCAGTGGAGCATCCTGAGAAATTTGAGAAGTTTGGCATGTCTCCGTCCAAAGGTGTTCTGTTCTATGGCCCTCCTGGCTGTGGTAAGACTTTGTTGGCCAAGGCAATTGCTAACGAGTGCCAGGCTAACTTCATTAGTGTCAAGGGACCTGAGCTGCTTACCATGTGGTTTGGTGAGAGTGAGGCCAATGTGCGTGAGATTTTTGACAAGGCTAGGCAGTCAGCTCCTTGTGTCCTCTTCTTTGATGAGCTTGACTCAATTGCTACCCAGGTTAGTTATCTCTTCTGAACAAACGATTTCCATGGTTTTTTCATGATAATCTTTATGGCTGATTACTTTCAACCATATTTCAGAGAGGAAGCAGTGTTGGTGATGCCGGAGGTGCTGCTGATAGAGTGCTGAACCAGTTGTTGACTGAGATGGACGGCATGAACGCGAAGAAAACCGTGTTCATTATTGGTGCTACTAACAGGCCAGATATCATTGACCCTGCCTTGCTAAGGCCAGGGCGTCTTGATCAGCTTATCTACATTCCTCTGCCTGATGATCAATCTAGGCTGCAGATCTTCAAAGCTTGCCTCCGGAAGTCACCTGTGGCCAAGGATGTAGACCTGAATGCTCTTGCCAAATACACCCAAGGTTTCAGTGGTGCTGATATTACAGAAATCTGCCAGCGTGCATGCAAATACGCCATCAGAGAGAACATTGAAAAGGTAACATAAATATCTTCAATATTATTTAGTTATTAATTCCAAACATACTTCTGGCTTATGCTTGCGTGCTAACGGAGACTTGATTTTGATTTCAGGACATCGAGATGGAGAAGCGGAGGAAGGACAACCCTGAAGCCATGGAGGAGGACGAGGTTGATGATATTGCTGAGATCAAGGCGGCTCACTTCGAGGAGTCGATGAAGTACGCACGCCGGAGTGTGAGTGACGCCGACATCCGCAAGTACCAGGCCTTCGCCCAGACTCTGCAGCAGTCTCGTGGGTTCGGCACCGAGTTTAGGTTCGCTGACCAGCCAGCGTCTGGCGCCGGCGCCGCCGCTGACCCCTTCGCATCCGCTGCCGCCGCAGCTGACGATGATGATTTATATAGTTAGATCGCTGTGCTATTTATATTTAACCTCCGTGCTTTTGTTCAGTATGTCTATTTCGCTTTGGTAAACTTTATCATATGTAACATACGGGGAAACAGTGTACTATTTTTAAGTTAATATTTTGAGAGGTACTGAACCGAATTGCATGTTTCTGTATGGATGTGTCGTGGATGAGCATGGTTGCGGGTTGTATTCATCGATTGGAGCATGGATAGATTTGCGTTGTATGTTTGTGAGGTTTATAGATGCTCCTGCAAGGCTGGAACTTGTTGAAGTTTGTTTTTATAGTGTTAATCCGAGGCTTCATTTGGTCGGCGAGACACCAACCGACAAAAAAAAACAAAGGTCAGAGGGCAGACATAAGTTGACATAAGAGATTACTCCGTTTCTTGATAATTGATAATTTCGGCGTTGACAACTAATTGCTTTTGAATTGTTGAGACCAAATTGAAAATATTTTGAACGTA